CTTGACTGACTTATTCACTAACGTATCCCCAATGCTTAGAATTTAGTCTGGTGCATATAGGTCTGGCCACTATGTACAGACTCACAGGTTGCATATTGTACAAGGTCAGGGCACACCATTCAGGAAATGGTGACTCCTGGAGTTGTGCAACATATCAGCCCCTAGGAGCTCAATAAAGATTTGTTGGATGGAATAAAACAAAATGTTTTGCCCTACTATTTTAGGTACTCCTCTGTCAGTAATCTCTGGTAAACTCCCTTGTATTGAAGGAATGCTTGGAGAGTTTAGAGACTCACAGACCAAAGGAAGGTATTTATAACAGTCACTGGATTGTGGGTTTAAAGCTCCCCTACCTACACCACCATAAATACTGTTTACTAACTAAACAAAGTATTTTGAATTCCACTGGAGGTGGGCAAATTGGCTATGTTTTGGAAGTCTGTGTAATCACTATTTTCCCACAAGATAATTGAACAGTAAGTGTTATTTAAAGTAGTCTTGGAAGAATTCCCAGTTTCACTGTAGGAAAAGAGAAGTTTATAGCTTGGGATTTTGTTTTGTTTTGAGAATCAGCACGCATGACTGTTCATGCAGCTCTTTTGTCTAGTTGAGATTAAGTTAAATCTGTTACTTCAAAGCAGTTTTGCCATAGTTCAACAGGCATACCCACCAACGTATCCTAATCTTCACCTTGGTAGCATTCTCTCCCGGTGTGTCGCTTCCTGCTACAACTGATTACTTAAAATTTTATACGGAAATATGCCAGCCTCCCTCAGCTTCCTGTCTGATTAAAAGAATGTCCCAACTCCTCCCTTGTAGTAGTATGACTGGTGATGTCATAGCCTTTCCTGATAAGTGTGACTCTTACTCGTCAGGAACCAGGATTTCATTTCAAGGCCTTAGGGTGAAGTGAGGAGGGGAGTCTGCCGGAAGCTTTGCCAATAAAGGAGGTGGGCCATGGTTTTTGCAATCTCCTTTGTAGTCACTGACATGACCTGTAGGCTACTTACTAATGTGCTTCACAACATTTAAGGAATGAGTCATATGTGATGAGGAAGCCCTTGTTGTCCTTCAAGAATCACCAAAAGGATCTGGTTTTCCAGTGTTTTCTATTACCTTGTGTTAAGAGTTTATAGCTTAATGTTGTCAGAGTTATATTTGAATGGAGTCTTTCAGAGAATTTCAAGTGTTTTCACAGTCTTCCTGTTCAGTGGCACTCAAGTGTAGGTGCCTACCTTTGTCTTTTTTCTGTCTGATTAACTTAGTAGGGCCACAATTCTCACAGAGGTAGTTGTGACAAATAGTGGTGAGTTAAATCCTGAGTTCTTTGATGAGGTGGCAGGAGGTGAGAGGTAGAGTGTCCAGGGAATACTATGCCTACAGGAAATAGCAAATAGTCTTTTGCACCTTCTCATGGAGACAGCAGATAGCTTGTGTGCAGCTGGATGCTATGAAGAGCATAACACTTAAATTTTTGGTCCAACAGACTTATCTTTTGTTTCTTAGTATGTCTACCCTGGGCTGTGGTAAGGATGGATGGAGATGTGCATAATTGAAGTCGCCTGAGTTACCACATTTTGTATTGTTTGACAAAGTCCATTCTTACCTGCCATTGAGAACAGTATAACCCAGTCCCCACAGTATAGATGTGACTTCCCAAGACAGCAGTTGCTGGTGTCCAATCTGCAACCCCCTCAAACATCACCCAGCCACATCCCCCTTTACACTAAGTGTGACCTGAACCTCAGTGTCTAGTTTCTACTACATGCTAGTTCTAGAACCCAACCCACCTGTTCAGATAGTTTTCCTATTTGAGACCCTACATGCCAGGCCTTGGTGTGGTTAAGAAGAAGAATAGCCTAGGGGTTAAGAACTTGAGCTTCAGAATTGGGCACACTTAGCTCTCACTAGCCATGTGAACATGTGAAAGTTGCTCATTTCTCTCTGTCTCAGTGGTTTCATCTGTAAAATGCAGATAAAGTAGCCTTAGAATTCTTTTGCACATTAAATTAAATAATGTTTGGAAAGCCTTATACACATTACCACCTGTTAAAAGACTTGCTATAATTGATAGGAATTCCCAGCATGCCAAGGGGGCAGAGCCTCCCTTCCTATAATAGTTTCTTGTTAAAAGGTGCTGCTTTCCTTTCTACAAATACTACACAGTCAGCATTTACTTGAAGAAAAAAACACAATTTGATGCATAGTAGATATGTGGAGACGAACCAGAAATAGGTAACAGAACAGAGACAGTATAATGCCCTCATCTTAACTTGGCTGATTTCCTTCATTTCTTTCTTTAAAAAATTTTACTTAAAAAAAATGCTTCTCAATAAGAATAGAATTTAGAATTTTATACTCAGTGTTTTCTCAACCAAGAAAGTTCTTTTAAATAATGATGTAGAATCATGTGTTCATTTGCTTGCCCATTTGGTTTTGTTTTGTTTTGTTTTGTTTTTGTTTTCACTCTTTCATTCAACAAATAGTTATCCAGCCCTCATGTATCTTTTCTCTCTAGTGGGGGATTTAGTCAGAAGGAAGGCAGTTACAGGGCAATGTGACTTAAAAACAAATGGAACAGAGAAAAGTTAGAGGCTATGGAAGTACTTAGGAAAGCACCTTGTTCAGATCTGGAAGAATCAGAGGGACTTCCTGGAGGACGTGGAGTTTAGCAGGGGACCTAACTAAGGAGCAGAACTTTGCCAGGCACTGAACAGCATGTGTGAAGGTTTGAAAGCAAGAGAGACCCTGATTTGGAGGAAGAGCTGAGTTCAATATGACTGAAATATAGTTTCATGAAGGTACATGGAAAGAGACAGGGCTGGAGAAGAAAATTGTTGCCAGATTATTTCTTTTTTACACTTTTAGATGTATCCAGCACACAAAAATCAGAGGTCATGCTGTGTAGTAGCATTGTGAAATAAAGAATAAGGACTTGCATAGATGGAGAAAATCAAGTTGCCAGATGACAGTTTTCCCAGTGCAGAGTCTTCATGAGGTTCCCAATTTCTTGTGCACTATGTAAATTTGAAGAACATCAGATATGCTCAAACATGCATTCCGAATCTTGCCACTGACTCCCTCCTTCCATTACAGTGAATATTGGGACTTACTAATGTCCAACATTAAGAAATACACCTTTTTCAAAAGCCTCAAATGCCTGGTATTATTGTAATCCTGACTTTAGATAACCTTTTATTATTAATTTTTTGTGTTTCAATAGTTTTAGGGGTACAAGTGGTTTTTGGTTACATGAGTGCATTGTCTAGCAGTGAAGACATCTGGGCTTTAAGTGTAACCGACACCCCCAATAGTGCACATTGTACACCATAGGTGGTTTTTCCTCCCTTGCTACCCACCTCCCCCTTCTGAGTCTCCAATATCCATTATACCACTCTGTGCCTTTTTAGACCCGTAGCTTAGCTGCCACTTATAAGTGAGAACTTGTGGCATTTGGTTTTCCATTCCTGTGTCTTAAGTGAAGTAACACAGGAGCATTTCAACAGGTAAATATGCTAAATTATCTGCACATGAGAAGACAAACATCCTTCAGTTCTAACTTGAATCAAAGTTAGAATGCCTATAAGATAGTTGTTTGAGAATAATTTTGTAAGATAGCAAGGGGAGAAGCTTATTGCTGAGCTATTGACTATCTTTCAAAATAATCTGCATTTTCCTCTTTCCATGATTGTTCATGCTATTTGTTCTGCTAACAATGCTTGGCTAAAACTTTCATCCTTCAATGTTCATTTTTGCACCCTTTGAGCATTTTAATGATTGCTCTGCAAGTGAACTGAGTCATAGCTTTCAATTCATTTGTATATTGTATTGTTTGTCATATATTTTAAAACAGTTTTACTAGACTTAGAAAAGTGGAATCTATTAGTCTTTTTGAATCCACTATAGCACTTAGCATGGGGCACATGTTTAATGGATAATGAGAAAATATTTATACAAAAGGTTCATGAAAGAATTTAAGTTTCATAGGTAGATAATCTAATCTTTCTCAGTTCTGACAAAAACAAAACCATTGAAGCATATATGCCTCCTTATTAAGTGAATACTGGTGAGTAATTAACCTGCAACAGTTTCTAAGGATCACATTGATACATGAGCTCTTTCTGCAGTCAGAATTATCAGGTGAATGCTTCTGCAGGAAAACACATAGTCTCTAGTTTGAGAAGTTCCGTAGGAAGTGAAACTAACCCAAGGAAGGATGTGAGCACCAGCCTCATCCTGTATTCTGAATATATACGTGCTGTTACACATATCGAGAGCTCCATAATATATTTGTTGAGTATTTTTGCTGGGTATCCCCTTATAAAGACAATAAACATAAAACCACTTAGATGGTGTGTCTTCTCTCTAAATGAGTTAACATATGAAAATGCTTAGGGCACAGAAGGCACTCAACAAATGTTAGTTGTTGCTCTTGGTTTTGATATCATTTCATTCTTTAGAGCAATGCTGACAGATACATGACCATTAGCTACTGGGGGTTATTGAGCACTTGAAATGTTACTTGTCCATATTGAGATGTGCTCTAAATATAAAATATGCATTAAATTTCAAAGACTTAATAGGAAAAACAGAATGTCAAATAGCTCATTTAATTTTTAGATTGATTGATTGCTAGCTTTGAATACATTAAGTAAAATATATTATTAGAATTAATTTCACCTGTCACTTTTTATTAATGTCATTGGAAACTTTAAAATTACATATGTGGCTCACATTTGTGGTTTGCATGATATTTCTATTGGACTGTGTTGCTTCAGAGAGAACTCTCAGGGTATTTGACAAAGCAGTGGTATTGCAAACATTCAAGTATCATGATCAGCTAAGAAGAAAGAAACCAGGCCATTTATAGCTGAACAAATATGAACTATTCCCTTTTAAAAATTACAATTAAATGTGTTTTTTACTGTTTGTGGTCAGTTTCATCTTTCACAAACTATACTTAATATTTTATGTCTAATGAAAAGAAAAATTATTTCTAGGTTACTGGTTGGTTCACCCTGGAGTGGCTTTCCTGAGAACCGAATGGGAGATGTATATAAATGTCCTGTTGATCCATCCACTGCTACATGTGAAAAACTGAATTTGCAAGGTAAGTGTTAATTAGCAAGTGATTTTCTACAAATAAAATAATCTCATATGTTATATACCCAACTGAAAAATAACAAAAACAATCATCGTTCTGTCTTAATATATATATATTGCCTTTATCTCTTTAGTCATATGGGGCCCGATTTTGTCCAAATGTTTAAAACACATTGGAGATCTGACTTAACAAGATGTATGGGAAATGTGCTGCCTACTGGACCATCTTCCCCCAGACCGTGGACTGGTTTCCATTAACATTTAGGATGATATTGTTAATTACTTGAAGAAATCTGAGGTCATCCAGATTTCTCTTTCTTCTCAAAACAAACTGTTAAGTATGGAAACATCTGTACAAGGACTGAGTTTGGAGGTGCCAAGAAACACTCTGTATTTCTGATTATGCCTAAAGGATTGCATTCTAAAAAAAAAATCCACAATTTGGAATTATTTGCTGTTTTAATTATCCACATCTCAGGTGCTTTCTATTAATGCAAAAAACTTACTAAAGGTGCAAGTGTAAAAACTAAATTAGAGACATATCCATGTAGTGTTTCCTGATGCAAGGAAAAAGTTATTCAGTTTGATTATTGTCACATCAGCATCAGCAGCCTTAAAAAAAATCAGCACTAGGAGTCATAGAGTTCCCCTGAAGAATTAAGGCATGAATACAGAGTTATAAAAATCAAGGGAAATAAAAGTTTTTTTTAAAAAAAAGATGAAGAATTGGAAACAAGGGCAGACGTGTTTCTCACACATCTCTGTATACTAATATCTGTACTAATTTCTGCCATATAATAAGGGTGCAATAAACATTTTCAGTGACATGGAAGAAATATGAGAGGTGTTAAATGCTACAGAGGCTGAAGGGGACAAAGACTAAGCAAAGATCTTCAGCTTATTTAAGGAGGTTGTGGGTGATCTGGATCAGTGATCTACAAACATTTTGAACACTCACCATGTTCAAATATATATAAGTCAATGTATTGAATATAATTATTTTCATACATTACAATTATATTTAATTATAACTACATATTTAATTAAATGCATACTTATGTATAAAATAGATAAATATAAATATATTTTATAATGAAATATATATAGCTAAAGATGAGTATTCAAGATTTTATTATGTAGTTCAAATGTTTTATTGTATTCACCCTAATATATGTTATATATATAACATATATATTATATATATACTAATATATAATATATTCACCCTTGATTTTTTAACACATACCTAATGTATATATTTTTATTATTTTTTAAAGCTATATACATGTACTGGCATATTATTCTCCTAATAACACATTCACATAAAAATAAATGTAAAAGGATTTTTAAAATACATACAAAAGTTTTAATATTTTCTTTCCATACTTTATCAGGTCATATTTTGTGTAAATCGTCTAGAGTATACGTCTAGTAATGTTGTGTGAAGAAAATAGGTAATAAAGAATTTAGGTTTGTGTGAGTAGTGAACAAGGACAAGGAGTGAAAGTCAACCTCCATTTCTAGAAGTCGAGTAGTACAGGAGACCTGGAAAAAACAACTATTTGGGAGAGCAGGGTTAGAAGACTTTTCTAGCAAAAAGGAGATAATTCTATTTGTAGGGAGCATGGCAGGAGGTGGTAAAGAGGGAGTAATTATTAGTTAAGGATAGAGTTAACTGGGTGGAATTAATGTCATCGATGCTTGGGAATATGACCCTTAGAAAGAATGATTCCTATTCTAAGACACAACAGAAGGAGAGAAAAGGCAGGAGTTCTAAGAATACTCTTTCCATCATCACAAGAGAAGCTGAGATGACCCTGAAAGTGTGGTTTGTCTTCTCTGTAGTACACAGGTTATCACTGAGAGTGATGGGACCTAGGTGGAGTTTGGAGGTTTTAGAAGAGTCAAGTTTTACAACAGCTACTGTGGGAAATAAGGAAAGGAATCCAATTAAGAATAAATGAAAGTGGTAGTGCTGGTTTGACAGAGATTAGGAAACATGAGGGAATAATGGTATTATTGAAAATTGCCTCAAGGAAACGCCTTAAGGATCTGTTTTACCAATCAAGAGAAAATAAAACATTAGATAGAGCCACTATGACTTTGGAAAGAGCAGAGCTGACAAGCGGAGGACCAAATCGGTATCCTCAAAAGTGTTTTGTTTGGCCAGAACATTATTAAAAAGTTCAGTTTAAATGCCTGTAGGTCATGCTGTCTCCAGAGTTCACTCCCTGATGTCTTATTTTCTGCAACCTCACACATTAAAATGAGCTGCTGAATCACTGAAGGCATCTCATTTCTCTACATTTCATCATATTGTTCAAGCACCTGTACTTATGACACTAAATTCAATGCTATATATAAACATGGGTGTGCCTATTTGTCTTTAATAACTTTAAGTAAACAGTGAAGATGTAATATGTAATCACTTTTTAAAATCCTTTTCCCTTTGAAAGCTTCAACAAGCATTCTGAATGTTACTGAGATGAAAACCAACATGAGCCTTGGCTTGACCCTTACAAGGAACATGGGAACCGGAGGGTTTCTTGTGAGTGTTGACTTTTCAGATGATCATTCTTCTCTAAAAAGTCTGTAGTCAGTGTCTTCTCACCATCCTTCCCATCAGACTAAAAAATCTTGAGGTTTAAAGGCTTACAGCTTGCTTTTTGATAAATTAGGCTATTTGGATACTCAATATTGGATATCCAAAATAATCTGTTGTGTAGACTTTTTAGGTTATTCAGCAAAACCATTGCCATAGGACATTTTAGAAGAAAAGGTTGGGGGGGGAGGTGACAAAAGGAACACTGTTTTGTTTTGTTTTTTTGTCCGTGGAAAATGTGCTAAGTATTTGTTAATAACAGCAGAATCCAAGATCTCATTTCTCTGTCCTGTAGGAACTTTCAATACAGGTACTTCTAATTCAGAAAGTAGTTTCTAAAGCCATAAAGTGTTTTTGTTTTCAATCATTTCCTGTAACTGTTGACTAATCTGGTATTATTTAAGGCATGGCATAGTCTCTCATCTTATTTCACATCAGTGTTTGCTTTCATTTAGTTATGAAAAGATGTGAAATCTTCACAAATCAGTGAAATAGAATGCCTTATTTAACAAGTGATCTGGGAACAATTAATTGGTTAATTATTTGCATATTCAAACACACTTTCAAGTGAATTAAAGTGCTAGAAAACTAGAAAAAAGTTGAAATTTTCTGAAAGAAGGAAGAATTTCTGAGCTTGGAGCTAATAAGAGAAATAATATAGGAAATTGCTGAAAAGTTTTGACTATATACCAAAATGAGAAACTACACACCAAAAAAAGTTTAAAGGCAAATAAAAACACAATCTTATTTGAACTTTATAGCCAATTATAATTGTTTTAGAAAATCTAATTTAACTTTATATTAGTTTTATCTATACCATTGACATGCTTTTTTAAAAACTTATGTTTTAAAACTGTATTATTCTAAAAATGTAATCAATTCTGAGCAATGTCATTCTATTTTTACTAATAGATATTAGTATTTTGATGACTTTGCTGTCACTAAGTAGACTAAATATTGTTTATAATATGTGCTAACATCAGTGCATAAACAAATACTTAAATGGATCTTTGTGGTTTATAATATTCCAAAGTCTTTATATTAAGGTTGCTTTCATTTTTTTTTTTTTTTGCTTGTTTGATTTTAAGGTTGGATAAATCAGAAGGAGGAACATATTAAGATTTAAGGATTATAGAATGTGCTTTGATGTTTTAAATCTGTAACACCAGATAAAGTTAAAAAACTGCAAGAGAATTTGAGAAATTAATTTAACAGTCCATATAGCAAGCAGAAAGGCAAGGAGAGAGAGAGAGAGAGAGAGAGAGAGAGAGAGAGAGAGAGAGGAGAAAGAAAAAAGCCCAAGTTTCCTTTACATACTTAAAAGGTCAAAATTATAAGATACTCTTGAGAATTATGTGGAAAAGACTGACAATCATCACATTTTTTTGAGCCTTCTTAAATTCTGGGCTTAAAGCAGGAATGTAGTTCTGGCATTAACAATTGGCATATTCTAATTTCAACTTCATAATGCTGTTTTCCATTGCTTTTTAAAACAAAAAAAATCTTTTCTTGAATACTTCATAAGTTATTTTTCAAGACGATGTTTAAAAAACCCATAGGAATGGGGATAAAGGAACCAATAATTGCTATCTGTTATTTGATAAACTAACCAGAGGTTATAATAATGATTTTCTCCTAGCTAATTGACAAAATGAACCAGTTTTATAGAGGGAAAAGTATGCTTTGTTCATTGAGTATGAAATATGACCACAGCTGTTTCCCCTTTGAGCTACTAATAGTTAAACTGGGTTAAATAAGTTTCCTTTTATTTTTCCAATTGCTTTTTGCAAATCCACACTCTTCTTTTCAATTTTAACAATTGACCCATAGCTTTATATGTCAAACTTTGTGGGTGTTTTTTAGGCTTTGACTAGATTTCTTTTTCGTACTTGTCTCCTTTTTCTTCTAGGGATTTTAATATTACTTAATCTAATGCTTCCCGTGTGATTTAATCAGGTGTTCTTGTTATTCAAGGACCCCTGTAAAGGAGAGAATTGGGGTTGCATTAATGGAGATATTAAGAATTGGAGTAAGTATGATGAGGGCAAGGCGACAAGTGGCAACCAGCTTTGGTGACTGAAGTTAATTAGGAAGTGGAAATAGGGGGTGTGAAGTCTTCAAAGTAAAGAAATATGTTATAGCAGAATTAAAAACTGGCAGTCAAAAAAGCCTCATTTGCATTTGCTCAGCATATAGAGTGATTTTTAAATGGAATTTTCACACAAAATTTGTGCTGTCTGACTCTCCTTGAACAATTGGGGAATCTGACAACACAGTCTGTTTCACACCAGTGGATGGGCAGGAACCACAATAGCCTGTACATGAGGCATAGGTTCTCCAATCACCTCACCCCAAACTCTCTTCAAGGGATACTTCCTGGACCTTGGAGGCCAATGGGTTTATGGTTTCTGCTGAGCCGTATGAATACAAGGAACTGTAGGAAATTGAGGTTCAACAATGACAATAATGATGCCAGCTAACAATCATGTAGCACTTGTTACTTACCTGGTACTATGCTAAGTGTTTTTTGAATCTATGAACCCATTTAATCTTCACAACAACCTCAAAAAATAGGAAATATGATAATCCTCATTCTCCAGATGAAGCATCTCAAGCTCAGGTAACTGAGAGGCAAAACAAACAAACTTTGCACACATTCTCCTCCTGGATTTTTCCTAGTTTGGTTGGTGACCTGATGGCCTCCTCCCCTCACTGATACCTGCCTCTGACAATCCCAGCGCTCCTGCTCCTGGAAGTCCTGCTTTTGGGCAAAGAGCATCTGCCAACTTTCCCATCACTTCTGCTGGCCCCAGTGGACACTCACACAAAGGCATTTGTGCCTTGTTAGTTTCCAGAGTTTGACCATTATTAGTATCTTAGAAGAGAATAGAAATGATTTCTGAGTTCCACAATGAAGAGGTAGAAGGTTAGCAATTTTCATCTGTTTCCCTTTATCCTTTTTTTCATTTCTTTGAAGACATGTGGTCCTCTGTGGGCACAACAGTGTGGCAATCAGTATTACACAACTGGGGTTTGTTCTGACGTCAGTCCCGATTTTCAGCTCTTGGCCAGCTTTTCACCTGCAGTTCAGAGTAAGTAATAAATGCACAGATGGTCTGAGCAATGCCTTACAGTTAAAGGAGTTGGGAGGTGGGTTATTTATCAGCAGATACCACCTATACCCTCCTTAAGTCTCATATTTATATGGGTGTGAAGTTTGACTTACTTATGAAAATTTGTTTCTTTTATCTTTTCCTGTATAGCTTGCCCTTCCTTCATAGACGTTGTGGTTGTATGTGATGAATCAAACAGTATTTATCCCTGGGTCGCAGTAAAGAATTTTTTGGAAAAATTTGTACAAGGCCTAGATATAAGCCCCACAAAGACACAGGTATGGATGTCAGTGATACATAAACTAGCCCATGGCTTTTATTCTGAGAATATATTGTTAGATATGAAGTCTTAATTTTTGTGTTTGCAAATCTCCATTTGAAATGCATTTAGCGGTAGTTTTGAAAGTTAATTGAAAGTTGTACCACTTTGGGTAATTCTACTTATGACTTTGTCCAATGCTGGTCTTTTGACCTTAGGGTTCTATTTCTGACACAAGCATTAAGGGAATGGGATGTAATATTTTAATCTTCTTAAAGTTGCCTGCTTTTGTCCCTCTAACCCATGAGTTTATTAATACATTTTAAAATCTAATATACACTATTTTCTTTATGTCCATTTAAACTAATAATGATTTTCTTTTCTCTACTCTTTTTTGGTAAAATAATTATCTTTGAATTTTGGGATTTTTATAAATAAGTCATTAAGCATAATTCTACTGTTTACTGTTTTATAGTCTTTTACACAGTGGTCCTCAACCTTTTTTGCATCAGAGACCGGTTTTGTGGAAGATAATATTTCCACAGACTAGGGGGTTGGGGGATGGTTTTGGAGTGATTCCAGTGCATAACATTTGTTGTGCACTTTATTTATATTATTATTACTTTGTAATATATAATGAAATAATTATACAATTCACCATTTAAAAAAAAAAAGGCATGGATGGAAGTGGTAAATAAAATAATGGGTAGGACACTCGTAGACTAAATTAAGTGTCAAATTCTGACTAAAAGCCTGATACCAGATGCAGCTGTACAATTTAAGTACATCAACTCACTTGCCACTCACTGATAGGGTTTTGATATGTCTGCAAGCAAATGATTTATTATGATCTCTGTGCAGTCCAGCCTCACTGCTAATGTTAATCTATTTGCAGCTGCTCCCTAGTGCTAGCATCACTGCCTTAGCTCTATCTCAGCTCATCAGTCATTAGATTCTCACAAGAAGCATGCAACCTGGATCCCTCACATGCACAATTCACAATAAGGTTCATACTCCTATGAGAATCTAATACTGTTGCCGATCTGACAGAAGACGGAGCTCAGGCAGTAATGCGAGCAATGGGGAGCAGCTGTAAATACAGATGAAGCTACTCACCTCTTGCTGTGCAGGCCAGTTCCTAACAGGTCGTGGACTGGTACTGGTCTGTGGCCCAGGGTTTGGCAACCCCTGGCTTAGAGGATGATTTCAATGCCTGAGAACTAGGACATTAACAGAAGGTTGTGACCTTCTTGATGTCTAGGGCCAGGGACTGTTCCCAGACATCTCATTCAGAAGTTCTTCTTTCATTCAGTTCTCTCAAATAAAATCCTCTCTAAAAACATTTTCTTTGAAAACCTGAAACTTCCTGCCCAAGATGCACATATAGCAACTTCCCTGCATCAATGCTGAAGTCCATAACAGAAGAAATCCAGCACAACAAATAGAACCAGACTGACTACACTGATTAGAAACACATTAGTTTTTCTTATATTCAACTCTAGTTCTCCAATACATAATTACCCTCAATTGATGAGATGTCACCCTTCATTTATGGTTGCTTATTGTTGTTTGCAAGCCTTTCTCCATGGATAATTAGAAAGTTTATTTATATATCAGTTTTAATCTTCCTATTAAAAACCTTGTTCTACTATTCATACATAGTAAAATATAGGACAGTGCTTTAAAGTCTATGGTTATTACTCTTGAGAACCAAATGATAAGCTGTAGTATATCATCTTGCTAGGCAATAGTTTTACTATTATACACCGATGGCTTCTAACAAAGAAGAACTTATTTTTCATTGAAAGAAAGATAACTATCAAGAACAAAGCTAGAAGTGATTCCCTTAAGTTATTGACTCACACTTAAACTTTTGATGTTTATTATATTGGCTAAATGGAAATTATTTATAACTTAATGACAGCTCATTAATAAATTTATACTCTCTTGAAGGTGGGGTTAATTCAGTATGCCAATGAACCAAGAGTTGTGTTTAATCTGAACACATTTAAAACCAAAGAAGAAATGATTGTTGCAACATCCAAAACATATCAACATGGTGGAGACCTCACAAACACATTCAAAGCAATTCAATTTGCAAGGTAAGTTGCAGCTAATGGACCAATATATTGATAACAGAAAAGTGCTCATAAATAAGAAAACGGAAGCAAAAGACAGAAAATAAATATACCTGGTATCCACACGTAAATCAGAACTAATAAAGAAAAAATAAGTATTTTATGACTTTACTTTGAGAAGATGATGAGAAAGAAACTTAAATCTTTGATTCCAGGATTTTTATATTATGACTTTATGTGAAGTCAATGAAGTGAGAAGACCTTAAGTTAAAACAGTAGGAAATGGAGGAATCTTTCATTATTTGTTAATATTTATTAGAGCTTCAGACAAATTGAGCTCATGAAGCACTTCGTGCTAATTAACAAGTGCCATAGAATCTTGAATATGTGAGTCTGAATTGAATTGAATGAGTTTATTATACTTATTACAATCTGTGGGAAGGGTGAAGTTTACAACAGTAGAGCATTCTTTTCATTCTTATCTCTGTTTCTCTATTTTCCTAGCTCCCTGGCCTTCATCTTCACTTTATTTTAATCAGATACCCTTACAAAAATGCTAAACACTCTCCTGTTGTTAAAAAGTAAATGAGAACAATAAGTTTGCTTTACCTTAAGTCTACTTTACACCTTTTTTATCTTGTGTATTCCTTCTTTCCACTATCAGAATTCCTTGGAAAAGGTGCATCTACTCCTTCGCTCTACTTCCTAAATACCTACAGCTCTGCCCCTAGGTAAGCATGGTCCTCTTAATCCCCCAACTCCATGGTCCTGCCTCAAGTCTCATTCTCTTCATCTCCTCAACATTTGATAATGATGAACATACATTGCTATATCCAACCCAGCTGCCATGCACCACCAACTTCTGGAATCCTTGCCAACTCCATGTCAACAACGTTTGCCTCTTCACTGGCTCTTTTTCTGATTTTTTTCCTTCATTAAACGGAGTCCTCGCCCCTTTATTGATCTTCTTTTTTAGAAATTGTATCCACTCTCATGGCATCAGCATCAGCTCTGTGTGGGTTACCCCACTGCTGTTTTCAGCCCTGCACTCTCTCCCAAATCTCACACAGGCATTCAGCTGAGGCTAAATATTTTTATTCGGAGTTCTGGCTCACTTACCAAATTCAATATGTCCTGAACTGGCCTAATTCTTTTTCCCACCACTCCTCAGCACTTTGCCATTTTGGTTCACACCGCTGCCTATTCCCAAGTCATTCAGACTAAAAACCTGACTATTTTCTTTATTCTTTCCACTCCTCCTTATGTCACACGTCTGGTCAGTCACCACATCCTGTCATTTCTATTTCTGCACTTCCCATGATATTTGTGCCTCTTTTTTCTATGTGTATATTTTAGTTGCTGCTTCTATCATCTGGTGATTATCCCCGTATGTTCTCAAAAGCAGATTCCTCACAAGAGAAGATATAATTGGTTTGGTTAATCGTTACTGTCCCTATTAAGATGCCGTTGTGGGCCAGACCATCTCACAAGCTGCTGGCCAGACAAAAGATCTGCTGCCATTAGGTGAAGTGCTCTTCCTGGTCTAGTAAACTACTCAGGGGAAGAAGTTGAAGTGGAAAATGGCCTTCCTGGAGTTAGAAAATTCCCATTGTAACCCTGTTTTCAGCAGAGAATGTAGGTGTGGCATTTTTCCCTGCGGGAATCCTGGGGCCCTGGCAAGTCTTCTTCTCCAAGATAATGGCCACTGTCTGTTGATGTGGGACTTGTCTGGCTTTCATCATCTTTCAAAACTTTGATTTTCTCCCCTGTGCCATCATCTATCTTCCTCTCACTCCTGTTTCCCAAGCTAATGGATTTAATCTGCCCAGTACAGGAGAGTCATCTGACTTTTCACTCAAATCCCCTAGAATATAATTACCTGTATTTCTTTTTATTGTTCCCTCTCTCTCTCTCTCTCTCTCTCTCTCTAACATACAAGCAGTTTTTCTTTTTTCTTTTAAAGATGTGGGGTACAAGTCAAGATTGGGTACATAAGTGGCCTACAAACAGGTGAAGTTTGGGCTCCCATTGGACCTTACTTCTCCTGGGCTGGGATCATGCACTCTTATTGGTAGTGTCTGTTCAACCCCAACACTTAACAGTGTCCCGCTACTGCCAGTCCCTTTCTTGTAGTATTATGGTAGGTGTTCAGGGTCCACTTATGAGTGAGAATATATAGTACTAAGTTCTTTGTTTCTGTGATAGATCACTGAGTATGATAGACTCTAAATCCATTCAAGTTATTGTAAATCATGCTGCAATAAACATGCATGTGCAGGTATCTATGAAAACATAGAGTGATTTGAGTTCTTCTGGGTATATTCCCAGTAAGGGAATTGAAGGGTTATATGGAAGGTCAATTTTTAGATCTTTTAGGAATTGCCGAACAGTTTTCCACAGAGTTTGTACTAGTTTATACTCCCACCAAGAGTGTAGAAGTGTTCCCTTTTCCTCGCTTCCTATCTAGCATCTGTTGTTTTTATGAGTTATTGATGATGGTCATCCTGGCTGGAGTTAATTGGTATTTCAGTATGGTTTTAGTTTGCATTTCTTTGATGACTAGTGAGGCTGAGCATTTTTTCATGTATCTGTTGGCTGCTTGTATGTCTTCTTTTGAGAAGTATCTAATCATATCTTTTGCCCACTTTGTAATGTGGTTGTTTGTTTTTTCTTTTTGGCACACTTGAGTTGCTTGTAGATCTTAGATGTTAGGCCTAACATTGAACCAACCATGCAGCCCATCAAAAGAGAACTGGATAAAAGAAATGTAGGACATATACACAATGGAATATTACACACTCATAAAGGAGGACAAAATTATGAACTTTGCAGCAACTTGGATGGATTTAGAGTCTATAATCCTGAGTGATCTATCACAGAAGCAAAGAACTGAGTACCACATGTTTTCACTCATAAGCAGACCTTAACAGTTATCATAATACTATAAGAAAGGGATTAGCAGTAGTTGGAAACTGCCAGGGGAGGGAGGCATACCTCATCAACAAGAGTACCTGCATAATGACCATTTGTATACCTAACCCTGAATTGTACCCCACATCTTCAAAGGAAAAAAATTTTTAATTAATTAATTAATTAAAAAATTTAAAATATGTGAATAGGTAGAATAAAAAAATTTTCCCATGGAAAAAAATTACCAGTAATGAATCATTATGTAATTACATTTTAGGCAATGGGCCCCAGTTTATGCAATATAAAAACTTTTACTTCAGCCAAGGGGTAAATATTATAATATTCACTTTGATACAAAATTAAAGTCACTTCCTTGTTCAGAGTTAGTATACTAAATTAATGGCAAGAAAAAACTGAATGTTCTTCTGACACAACAAAAATAATGACTAACCAAATGTTGAACTTTGCAACATGGGTCAAATTAATTAAGACTGGTTGGAGAAAAATAGCAAATATCTCCCTTTCTGGCAAGGAATAGACAAATGCCAACTTATCAAAAAAGTGCATGGACAGCCTGCAATTGACTCACAGAGTGAAAAGCACATTAGAGCTTGCATTTTCAAACATGAAAGTAATCTCTTAAATGTATACATGTATATCTATAAACTTAACAACGAATTTGTTCTGAACCAGGGTCAAAAGTGATCCTGTGTTATTTTTGAAATCTAATCTCCGTAGTACCCCATATATATTCAGCATGATGAAAAACTTCATCTGAGTGTCTCAGAGATGAACAGTGGAAACAATGCATTTACATTAAAATTCCACAGACCTTTGGATATAAATAAAAAATTTTAAAAATCCATTCAAGTTGCTGTGAAGTCCATAGTTTTGTCTTTCTTTATGGCTGCATAAGATTCTATCATGTACATGTATCACTTTTTTTTTTTTTATCTAGCCCACTTTTGATGGGAAGTATGGTTGGTTTGATATTTTTGTTTTTGTGACTTGTGCTGCAATAAACATACATGCACGGGTATCTTTTTTTGTAGAGTGATTTGAATTTCTCCGGGTATATTTCCAGAAGAAGGATTGCTGGGTTATGTGGCAGGTCAATTTCTAGTTCTTTTAGAAATCACCACGTTGTTTTCCATAGAGGTTGAACTAGTTTGCACTCCCACCAACAGTGTAGAAAAAAATATGGAATACTTCATAAATTTGTGTGTCATCCTTGTGTAGGGACCATACTAACCTTCTCTGTATTGTTCCAGTTTTAGTATATGTGCTGCCAAAGCAAGCACATATCTCTATTTAGTTTCTCTTTTATTTCTGTATCTTTCTTTTTTTTTTTACTCCATATTTTTTATTTTAAAATTGTGGGGTACAGTTAAGGGTTAGGTATACAAATATGCATTGTGCAGATACCCTTGTTGATGAGGTGCCCCCCCATCCATTGAATAGAATCTGACACTCAATAACTATTGTCATGTTTTCTTTCATTTTATTTTATTGAATGCCTACAGTAGCAACTTATTGTTCTAAGTATTACAGGTAATTAAAACAAAATGAGGCACAATTTCTGTCCTCAAGAACCTTATAATCATAAATGAAATCTACAATGTTTCATAAAGAGTGTATGTCACTGAAAAAGGATCTCATACGAATGTTGCAAATCAAATTTGTCTGGCTGAAAATAAGAAATATTTTCTACAGTTCTATATCCTGCAATATAGAATACAAAAAAGATTTTAGAAAATAAACTTATGTGCTCAATTTTTAATACATTGACTTTGACGTTGGCTATCAAAACTTAAAATGTGTATGTCCTTTATCCCAGTAATTTCACTGGTAAGATAATATCTCAATGATACATTTGAAAAATATGCCAATATATATAATATATAATATGTAATAATATTATATATTACAATCTTACTTGTAAAACTCAAAATGGCCTAAATACCCAATAATGGGGATCTGGTTAAATAAACTAAGGTGCCTCCAATTAATGAAATATGCAACCATGTAAAAAAAGAATAAGGGCTTCATATGTGCTGATATGGAACAATGTCTATCAAAACAATATGCCACCATTTGAGTAAAAGTTTAAGGGGTAGACTATACATATATTACATCTAAATAAAACTATTTCTAGAAAGAAACTTAAGAAAATGATATTAGCATTTATGATTTGGAGAGGGGCTTAGTGTCAGTTTTTTGTTTATGCTTTTCCAAATAATTTGACTTTTTTTTGCTATGTATATCTATTACTTTTAAAAAATAACTAAATATGAAAAAAGTAAACACGAGCCTGACAGAAATACCTTTGCTCATTGATTAGTATTCATGAATTTAACTTTCTTATAAGAAAATAATTCTAAAGAATCCTGTTGTAATTACATGCACAGGTATACTCACACAAGCCATGACACACATGGCATTAAATTATTTTTAATACAAGCAAGATTTATATTTGTATATGTTTCTTTACAAATTACAAATAGAACATATATGTCACCAGCATTGATATGGCTAGAAATTTTAAGTCACAGTAGGTTGTGCTTAAAGAAGGTAGTTTTGTATTTCTATTTCAAACCTGAGGTTTATGTATTAACTTCATCTTTTGATAGTGAGTCTTTAATTTTATCTGTCACAGAGATTCTGCTTATTCAGCAGCTTCTGGTGGACGACCAAGTGCTACCAAAGTAATGGTAGTTGTGACTGATGGTGAATCACATGATGGTTCAATGTTGAAAGACGTGATTGATCAATGTAACAATGACAATATACTGAGGTTTGGCATAGCAGTAAGTGGATTTGCTTTTTACATGTCTTTCAGCTGCTGGGTAAATGTGCCTCTATAGCATCACGTCTCAAGGCTGCACTTTCGCATTGGCTGTTCATAGCTTAATATAAAATAAAGTTTTAAGCCGGGCTCGGTGGCTCAGCCTGTAATCCCATGCCTTGGGAGGCTGAGGTGAGTGGATTGCCTGAGCTCGCAGGCTCGAGACCCGCCTGGGCAACTTGGCAAGACCTCATCTCTACAATAAATCAAAAAATCATCCGGGCATGGTAGTACGTGCCTGTAATTCCAGCTACTTGGAAGGCTGAGGCGGAAGGATCGCTGGAGCCCAGCAGGTTGAGGCTGCGGTGGCCAGGAGCGGCCACTGCACTCCAGTCTGGGCGACACAGTGAGACTCCAACTCAAAAAAAAAAAGAAAGAAAGAAAGAAAGAAAGTTTTTACGCTATCTCTGCTTTTTGCTGATTTTCATTTTGATCAACTAAATAAAGGGTTGTGGGACTATTGTTTGATTTACCTCTCCAGAGGGGCTATTGTGCTCAAAAATAGACTAGACCATACTAAGAGGGAAATTAGAGAATAGCAGTATTGACCTTTTTTCCTCTTCCTCTATTTTCAAGGTTCTTGGGTACTTAAACAGAAATTTCCTTGATACTAAGAAATTAATCAAAGAAATAAAAGCAATTGCTAGTACTCCAACAGAAAGATACTTCTTCAATGTGTCAGATGAAGCAGCTCTACTGGAAAAGGCTGGGACATTAGGAGAACGAATTTTTAGCATTGAAGGTAAACACACCTGCCTTCAAGAATTTTCATTCAAAACTTTTAAGAGAATTTTAATTTTATTATCACATACTTACTCTATTAATGTTAACTTGTACACCTTGTATAAAAAAGAAATCCTACAAATCAGTAAGAAAAATGAACATAGAATATGAATAAGAAATTTATAAATGATAAAATACAAATGATACATCAACATAAGAAAAGATTCTCAATTTCAGCAAGTGTTTAAAAATATAAATTAAATAAATATTGTTTTGCTTAAAAGATGGTTACAGATTAATAATGTTTAATCTTGGAGAGGTTATTGGGAAGCAAAGAATATCACACTGTTGATAAGATAAATGTTATAACCTTTGGGAGGCAAATTGGTAATATCTATTATAATCATAAGTAGTTTTACTTTTTTTACGCTGTGTTATATAAGTTCTAAAATTCTTGGATTTATTTACAATAGGCTTATGTATTTCTAAAATTCGATAAATGCAGCAAAGTTTTTAATAGTTTAGTTTTTCAGAAAGCATTTTATTTAGTGGACCTAAAATAATTTACTTAGGTGACTTTGGAATATCTAGTTAGTACAGAAATAACATATCTTCAGGAGCTTACTATATAGAAGATTATAACACACTTCCGTGGTTGGTTTTAAAAAAAAAGAAAAGACCCACATGACCCAAACCCTCATTAACTGCTGCAAAGAAGACTATATTTTATTGTGCACCTTTGTATCAGGTACAGCCTTAGAATCTAGGACCAAAGTTACAGTTTAAATATTTCTATAGGTAAATCTTGATCTGCTGATTATCCACTGGGAAGTTCTATCCAAGAAATTTCTTGCTTCTTCAATAGCCTGTGGTGTTACTAAGTTGTTTAAATCATCACAATCTAAGAGATAATACAAAATTACTAGGCTACTTACACTAATAATTTTGTTAGTTTGTAGTGGCATGAATAATAATAATTGCAATCTACAGGCTAACTAGAAATAATTTTGACCATTATCTGTTATTATGGACAGACTTCCAAAAGGGAGCAGTATTCTGCTTTTTAAAAAATTATCTCTACTTATCCTGGGCAAATTATTACATCTTCTAAACAAGACTATTTGTCAATTTGTCTTCTTGTCTATATCAGTCTAGGAATTTAGCTTCCTTTTTGTGAAGATTAGTGAAACAATCATTTTGATCACTCTGGATGGAAAATGAGTACCAACTGAGTCTTATGGTGTTAATGACAAAGACAAGCACACATGTAGAACTGGAAAAATTTTCCAAGTTGGCAAAATTCTAACTCAGTCTTGAATTCTAGTTCCTAATAGCTGACCCAATTATCTCTCAGCATAGCTTTTCCTACAGATCAATTGTCTAACTCTTCCAGCTGCGTCTGAGATATGTGTACATTTATTAGTACCAATATTTAAAAGCTAAAATTCAGGCAGCTTCATAGTTAGTAATGATCTGTTTTTAAAACAAAACAAAACATCACCTCTGTATTCACCTTACTTTCTACCTTTATTAAGTGTTCTTTGATATCAGGAACTTTGTAAGTATTCCATCAAATACGTTAATCTTTATCATTAAGATTAATGCCAACTTTAAACAACACTTTGAAAGTATTTTGTATTTCTATAACTGGCTAAAATACTTTTCCAGGGATTTCTTCTTCCCAGAATCTTCCAGTTATTTTAGGATGAAAATCAGAACACTGTGTGTATGTGTATGTGTGTGTGTATTTCCGTACATGCCCTTGTTTGAAAACTTGATTTCAAATTGCTGACAGTAAAGTCATTTTTGAAACTAATTTTTCCCAGGTACTGTTCAAGGAGGAGACAACTTCCAGATGGAAATGTCACAAGTAGGATTCAGCGCAGATTACTCTCCTCAAAACGTGTGTATATCATGTAACTTCAAGGCATGCTGTCATTTGGTATAGTACTTCTGGACACAGTAGCCTTATAGATAAAGAGGGAAGACAGCCATCTAGTGATCAACTGTTCTGACTCCTAGTCATAGTCATTTAATTTCTTTGTGCTGATTTACCTTCTAAAAATTGAAAGTTAATAATGACTTCCCTTCCGTATTTCACAGGGATTTTGTGGGGGGGTGGGAAATGATAATATCCAGAAAAGCCTTTGAATGCTCCAGGGCACAGGCACTGTATATTTTAAGGTATTATCCCTATAGGAATTTCCTTTGAATCAATTAACTACTGGAGATGTTTGATAAAAATACACACTCTTATCATCACTGTCATTGTTGAATTCTGAATTGTTTGGGTAGCTTTTTTAAGAGCAAGGACAGAAAATAATTGAAAAAGTACAGAGGAAAAACGTGAGACAGGATTGGAGTATTCCACTGTCTCAAGGGAGTACATTCCTGTTTTTCTGAAACATCTACCTTCCAAGTCTTTGATTCTAATTCAGCTCAGGTTATGAGAAAGATAGTGACAGGCCCAAAAAGATGTGAGTAAATATTTAGTGAACAATAGGAAGTCAGAGGATTTGATTGGCAGATCAGAGGACCAAGAATAGCTTATTTCTGTCTACAATAACAGTGCTTTTTCTGGATCATCAATCCTTAGAGATGCTCATAAAAGTCATAGATCTTTCCCTTAGGAAAATAAGTAAATGAATCCACTCACAGAGAATTTTGCACACAATTCCATGTAAATACCCTGAAACCTTTTCATGTACCACAGATTCAGAGTTCCTTGTTTTATTACAGTCATTCACATAATTTCATTGTCTCTTATCCTCAGAATGGGACACATAATTTCCCTATCTGCTATTCTGAGGGCTTGTGTTTTTTAATCCAAAATTATGTCTTTGAGATTTTCTAAGATCGAAAAACTAAAAATAACATATTGCATCCTGATCAAATTATCTGTGTCGTCTTCAGAAATGAATTATGACTTTGATTATTTAGACTGAAATTTGAGCCAATCCAGAGTAGCCTGTCCTTATTTGCCCTCCCCCTTGGGCTAACCAGTGGTTATTTTCCTTCTAGTAGATTGTCGTGGCTACAGGTGATTCTGGTAGGTGTGCTATTAACAAATAGATGAGATCTAAGGATATAGGTGTTAGAAGAAATCTGAGGAGTCAAGAAGTGAGAGGAGGAAAGATGAAAATAGCTTTCCAAGACATGCCTGGGATAGCAGTAACATCACTGTCTCTCCTCTATCGTCAGCACTTCCTGTTTCTCAAGCATGTCTCATATCTGATTGTGGGCTTTTCTTATGAATATGTGGGACTGGAGGCTCGCTTCTGACTCCTCTAAAAAGATCTAAACACTCAGCATTGGCAAACGTGTGCCTTTGAACAGAAATTTGAAGATAGTTATGTACCTATCCTGGACAATAGCTAATTACAAAGGTTTCTTTATATAGTATGTCATATTAAATAAAGTCCAAGATAACACAGCCCATAGGAAGGCTTGTTCTCCAGCACAAATATATTAAAACAATTCTGTGATATATCAACAGACATTCACATATATTTTATTTCATGTTAATTTTTTCTTAAATCTAAACAGTCAGTCTACGTTTTGCCTATCCTGCATTCTTATGCTTTAAAGGTGACTTGTTTTAATAATCTTCATTTTTGAATTATTTTAGGGTATCCTGATGCTGGGTGCAGTGGGAGCTTTTGACTGGAGTGGGACAATTGTCCAGGAGACATCTCATAGACATTTTATCTTTCCTAAACAAGCTTTTGATCAAATTCTGCAGGATAGAAATCACAGTTCATATTTAGGTAATGCACAGCAGTATTTGGTTCAGTAAACTTAAGTTCTCCTTTAAGCCAGAGCTTTGTTGATTCTCAGGGTTAGTTCAATAAAACCATTGAACTGTCATCTAATTATCATATTTATTTTACATGTATATGTTACCTCTTTGCCAATCTAGTCTCACCTTATGACTACTTAATGAAACATGATATTAATATAATAATATAATTATATTAATTATTATATTAACTCACTACTCTCTTCTGACTGGTCAAGTGGTTGTAATTCTTGGAACATAATTGTGTTTCCTCTAAATGGAAATCATTTCTAAAAGCCAATATAGTAAGTAGTAGTCTCATATTATTATTTTAGAGCTCTCAGTCTTCTTGTTCTTATAATAAGAAACCACCAATCATGAGAACCTACTATAGGACAGTTCCTGAGCTGCCTGGTTTATCTATATAAACATTTAAATCCTTCCAACACCCTTTCAGAACTTTTCTACCTTTGAGAGCACATGGTTAATAACTTACCTAAAGTTAAACACCCTAGTAAGTGGCAAATCCAGAATTTGAACCTGGGACTAATTCCAAGGCCTGAGTTCTTTCCATTGTGCAACACTGCCTTTTAAATTCACTTATTTATTCATTCAGGAAATACTTGTTGAATGCCACATCCATAGGTGGCTAATGAGGACAACCAGAATCTAGGGCCAGACTTAAAGGTAGAGATCCCATCTATGCAGGAAAACGTTACAGGTCAAAGGGCAGGAGCAACTCATCTTAGAAAAAGGAAGACGTGCCCTCAGTGACGAACTCAGGAGCCCTGGGAACTGTGTGTCACACTTAACAATAAAGGACACCTCTACTAACTTTTCAAAATCTTTATCTGGTTGAGATATTCAATGGTACTCATTCTATGACTCCTCTTTTAGGTTACTCTGTGGCGTCAATTTCTACTGGAAAAAGTACCCATTTTGTTGCTGGTGCTCCTCGGGCAAATTATACCGGCCAGATAGTGCTATACAGTGTCAATGAGAATGGCAATGTCACCGTTATTCAGTCTCACAGAGGTGACCAGGTAAGTCTCATTGTTAAGCAGATTAAATTAATTTTATAAACAACTGGGACAAGTGAGGTGTTGGGTGGGTGGGAATTATAGTGCCTCCTCTACAATTGGCTCTGTAATCTGAGTTTATTTACTATATTCCTCAAATCTTTACAAAACCGAGATCTACCATTGCCCTTTGACAGCTTACTGAGAGTTTAGCTAGCTGTTTAAGGTCACACAGCCCTAATGCATTGAGCAGTCATTAAAACTTAATACCGTCTGGCCTCAAAGCCTATTTAGTTACATTCCACTTCATATTTTTGACTTCCCAGATTAATAATGCATAGGCATTATGTAGTCATGATGGCAGGCACCTAACCACTGCTTTATAGGCAATCCCATACTAGAAACCAAGGATCTGGAGGCGGGAGCAGTATAATGTTATAAGGTCTGTGTTTCATTTGAGCCTGTCAAGATGTCCTGCTGGCTTTAACATTTCTAAAAGTAAAACAACTCACTTCTCTGCCACTTTTGATTGATGTGTGACAGTTTGGTAGTCGGACCCTACTGAATGTCAGTTATGGCCCACTACAGCCAAGGTTTGTTGCTAGAGTAAAGGCCAGCTAATTGCTTCCTATTTCCTTACTAAATAGTTTTGACCCATGGGCTTGTCACATATTTGAAAGGAGCGTCACTGATCCCAGACAACCAATAGAAAGTGGTTTTCTTCTTTGAGTTGGAGAAACTAACCACAGATTTATCTTCTCTGGGATTAAGTCTGATTAGGCTGCTGCTATGGATTTTCTAGGAGTAAGAAGATCTTACTTATTTCTTACTTATTTCTTGATTTCCTTGACCACAAATTAGCTATGGTCCTGTAGTTTTCCCTCCTCCTTAATAATTTTAAGAAGTCTTTAAAATGTAATTTTGAAGATAATAATAAAAGTGTGATGGAAAGAATCACTTCTTATTCATTTCTAACTCCTTAAAAAGTATTCCAGTGGGCATGCCTTGAATGTTATTGAATGGGGTGAATATCCAAAGTCCCAGCCTCTTATTTGTTTATTTATTTGTTTTTGAGTTGGGATCTCATCCTGTCACTCAGGCTGGAATGCAATGGCATGATCAAGGCTCACCACAGCCTCACCCTCCTGGGCTTAGGCAATCCTTCCTTTTTAGCCTTCCAAGTAACTAGGACTACAGACATGTCACCATGCTCAGTTAATTTTTTGATGACTAAATTATTAGAGATGAGGTCTTACTATTTGTCCAGGCTGGGTTTGTACTCCTGGGCTCAAGCAATCCTCCCGCCTCGGCCTCCCAAAGTGCTGAGATTACAGGCATGAGTCACCACTCGTGGCCTCCAGCCTCTTATTTTATCTCTACTAGTCTTCCTGTCCTCATTTATCTGGCAACCACTTACCTGTCCCAGATCATGTCATGGATATTCATGTCATTTGTTCGATCATCTCTTCTCTCCACCTAGAAAGTTCCTTATCCTTAAACGCAATTGAAGTAATACTTGAGCTTTCTAAGCCTTCTTGCTTCCCCAGCACTCATCACTCAGCATTTGGGACTGACTCTATTACAATCCATTTTACTATAGATGCTCAATTATTTGTTCCTCCTGTCTTTTTCCACAACACACTCACATACCTACTCAGAATTTTTCTAAGTGTGGTCTTTGACCCACTGGCATCAGAAACACCTGGAATATTTGTTTTAAATGCTCCTAGACATTGTCTAGAAATGGGTCTCTTGGTGATTCTTGTGCAGGTGTTAGATGGTGACACAATGGAGGAAAGAGACTATGTTGTTTGTCTCTATGTTCCTAGCACCTTGCAGGTAATAAACACTCAATTATTGTATGTTAAGTGAGCAAATAAACATTCAGTATAATATGAAAAGTGTATGAGTCCTAGGAATCCTAAAGTCAATATGCTTTATTACTCCAGATTGGCTCCTATTTTGGTAGTGTGCTGTGTTCAGTGGATGTTGATAAAGACACAATTACAGATGTGCTTTTGGTGGGTGCACCGATGTACATGAATGACCTAAAGAAAGAGGAAGGACGAGTCTACCTGTTTACTATCATAAAGGTAAAAAAAAAAAAATCCTTAGCGACAATTTAATTTCCTTTAGAACTAACAAATAAAAGTTAATCTGCTTTTGGAAAGAAAATGTATTATTATTAATTGATAATTAACTTTCATAGATAATATGATTTTATTGTATCATTTTGAGAATGTCTCTGTTAATGTTTTACACTAAAAGGCGTAACTAGAGTTTAATGTATAGTGTACTGCCATTTTCCATGAGAGGTCTGTTTGAATATATATTCTCTTATACATTATAAATGCACGTTATTTTCTGAAATACACACGCACACAAACATTTGTGTATTTCTCAAGTATATCTGACAAAGCTTTGCCGTAAAAGGAAAATTAATAGGGCAATACTATCTTGTTATCAATTGAGAGTGAAAAAGACAAAGTGTACGGGCACTTTGGAAACCTTCATATAATCCCAGTTGTTTTCTGCATTTGTTTGTCAGGAAATACCATTGCCTTGTATCACATTTAGGTATATGTCCAATTCTTGAAATTTCCAGTCCTTGTACATAAAACTTTAATATGGAAAAGCACAGTTTTCCAACTTGTAGACTGAACTCTTGAAATCCGTGTGTAGGCCAGGCACAGTGGCTTAAGCCTGTAATCCCAACACTTTGGGAGGCCAAGGTGAGAGGATTGTCTTAGCCCATGGGTTCGAGACCAGCCTGGGTAACTTGGTGAGACCTTGTCTCTACAATAAATCAAAAAATTGGCCGGGCATGGTGGCATGTGCCTGTAGTTCCAGCTACTTGGAAGGCTGAGGCAGAAAGATCACCTGAATCCAGCAGGTTGAGGCTGCAGTGGCTGGGAGCATGCCACTCTACTCCAGCCCGGGTGACAGAATAAGATTCCAACTCAACAAAAAAAAAAAAAAAAAAGGAAAAGAAATCCATGTGTATAAGTATAGTATACTTAATGAAATAAACAAAGAAAACCAAATTAAAGAAACAGGAGGACACAGAAAACTAGATGACAGTAGAGGGGAAAGGATAGAAAAAGAGAAGCTGATGTTAATATAGTGCAGCTTACGTTTAGTTGTTGTGCTATTTTGTGCTACCTTATTTATTTAAATCAGTATAAAAATTAACCTTTAAAAACATAAACAATTAATTGAATAATTCTAAAGCAATTATACATATAAAGAATGTACAACAAAGGAAACACATAGGCATGTCTGTTTGAAAAATAGACACATCCTCAGTTTCTTAAATATTTCTGACTTGTTAAATATATTGAATTATCATCAGTTACTGAAGATAAAAATATTTTCTAATACCTTATAAAACTCAATAGCAAAGTAATTTCCATAAGATTATAATAGAGGATAAAGAATCAACATTGGTCCAATTTCATAGTTGATTAGCATCGCTTTCTTGTGAAGTCATGGTATATTTCCACACTTGATTACAAAATCTGAAGGAGAAATTGTGTGTTTTACAAGGAAATGTCTTTTCCTTTGGGAAGAATTACTTAGTGTTTCTTATAATGGGATATTAACAATCTCATTTTCCATTTCCTGTATCACTATAATTATGCTACTATTTGATATTTTTTAAAGTACAGTTTAAACTAAGATACTGTGTTTTATTTGTTTTGTGACTAATTTCATTCATGATATTAGTAGATTTTTACTAGAAAATGTTTAAATCAAAAGTTTTAAAAATAGGTGAATATTATTGAATGGATATTTTTTGGTAGGTCATCTCTTTTCACCTTGATTCATGACCTTACTTACTGAATTGCTTATTTATAATTTTCATGACAAATTGAGAATTTTGAACTCTCAAAGGAATACCCTCTCCATTTTTAACATTTAAAAATTGGTTAAGTCATCAATTGTTCTGAATTTTAATTATACAAGTTGAAAGATTTGTTTTAATCATCTGTTTTTTTCCCCCTTTGCAAGGGCATTTTGAATCAGCACCAATTTCTTGAAGGCCCCGAGGGCATTGAAAATGCTCGATTTGGTTCAGCGATTGCAGCTCTTTCAGACATCAACATGGATGGTTTTAATGATGTGATTGTTGGCTCACCATTGGAAAATCAGAACTCTGGAGCTGTATACATTTACAATGGTCATCAGGGCACTGTTCGCACAAAGTATTCCCAGGTAATCCATGAGCTACACAGTAATGTATTTACACATGAGTGTCTTTGTATTTAAGCTAGAGAGTGTCTTGGAGACCATCCAACCCATTCATCTTATTTAATAACTTATCTATTCACTCAACAAATATTTAGTGAGCCTCTACTATGTGCCAATCACTGTTCTGGACTCTAGGGATGCTATAGGAACTGGACAGACAAAATTCAGTTCTTCAAGAACCTTATATTACAATGAGGCGACAAATGTTAAAGGAGGGAGGCAAGATAAAGTGTTCCTGATAGTAATAAATTCTAAGGAATTTTTTTTAATAAATGGAAACTAAAATAGGAAATAAAATTTCAGGGATGGGTGGTATCAAGTGGTTGAAAGGGTGATTAAGGAGGACTCACTGAGAAGGCACCTTTTGAGTACAACTTGAAGAAAAAAGAGCTAGGATAGGAATCCAAACCTGAACTTGCATCGTTAATTCCCAGCCTACTGATCTTTTCGCTGGCTTGTGATTTTATGTTAAAGATTCATGCTATTTCCTTGATGAAAATGCAGCTGCAAGAATGATATAGGGATCAGATAAGATGCGACTGAAAAACCAATGCAATTTTGTGGAAAATAAGACAACCTGGAAAATGACTACATAGAGAATATAATGTAATGTAGAGGCTGCCATTTTTCTGGTTCACCTATGGTACACTATAATTTTATGTCAAACTTGCTCTTCCAGAAAATCTTGGGATCCGATGGAAGTTTTAGGAGCCATCTTCAGTATTTTGGGAGATCTTTGGATGGCTATGGAGATTTAAATGGGGACTCCATCACCGATGTGTCCATTGGTGCCTTTGGACAAGTAGTTCAACTCTGGTGAGTCACTGAGAGCCAGATACAAACTAGAACACTAAATATGACCTGCTAAGAAGTAGAACAGAGGTCTGTGCTGGTATTATAGAAATGCAACACACATTCTATAAGACTGTAGGGTATTTATGTATCATAGTTTGCATAAAGGAAGAAACATTTTTCTGGTGGGAAAAATATATACATTTTCTTACCATTAGAATTAAATTTCCAACAAAACAGAGAGGAGGACAGTAGCTCACACCTGTAATCCCAGCACTTTAGTAGGTTGAGGTGAGGAGACTGCTTTAGGCTAAGAGTTTGAGATCATCCTGGGCAAAATTATGAGATCCTGTCTCTACAAAAAGTTTTAAAAATTATAATTAAATTTTTCTTCTCTATAGGATGAAAAGAAATAGTGGAAAGAAAACACAAAACTCTGGAAATGATATCCAGAATATTTCTGAATCGTATCTCCCAGTCAACTGCCTTATCTCTCAGCTTACAGAAAGGAAGCCTCTTGAGAGTGCATAGCAAATACTGAAACTTCAGATCACAAAAGTAAAGTGTAACTTCTTTTGTGACTAAAAGGAATATTTCAACATTATTAGTTATAAACAAGAAATTATTATTTAGGTTCAGCTGTTCTCTCATTGACCTCTAGAGAGCTGAAGATTGGGAGAAACAATAAGAGATTCAGAGGCTGTGGGATTCAAAGTCAAAAATAAGTATATTGGGCTGGTGAGGAAATAGTCCCAAAAAGAAATTGATTATTTTATCAAGAGTCTCCATTCATTCATTCGTCTCTATTGAAAAATGTATTTTAAATGTCCAAATATGTCAAGAACAGAAAAACATTATTCACTGATGTTTTGTGATTTTTGAGTTTAATGATACTATTTACAAATCTCACTTGTGCTTTTAAAGAATGAGGTGCATTTTTTTATTGACAAATGAAACCTTTATAGTTAAAGAAAACGCAAGAATAATATTTAAGACTTTGAAAAACAAGAAAATATATTTACTGAATAAATCAGGTAAAATCATTTCAGAGTAGCATACCAGGAGTAAATAAAGGTGTGTTACAATTATATGGCTGATTTTTTTTTAACATTTCAATTTTTCTCTTTAAAAGGAGTGAGTTGTGAACAGGGGGGTTAAATTCTTTATAGACAAGAAAAAAAAAACCGTGCTAGAACCCAGCTTATTCATCATCTTCTTCTGCGTCTTTCTCCTCTTCCTCATCCTCTTCGTCTTCCTCATCTTCTCCTCTTTCTTCTTTTTCTTGCTCTTTTCAGCCTTACCGACTCCCCTTTTCACTGCATCAGGCTTGCCTTTAGCTCAGTATCCAGTCAAATATCCTTTTCGTATTTCTCCTTCTGCTTCGCGGTCTTCTTGTCTTCTGCAGCAGTGTTGTTCCACATCTCTCCCAGCTTCTTCAGAACATCACCAATGGATAGGCCGGGATGCTTTCCTTTGTCTTTGGGGCGATACCCAGAACAGAACAAGAAAAAGGCCGAGGGAGGACCCTTGGGTGCCCTGGGATCCTTGAACTTCTTCCTTGTCTCCCCTTTAGGAGGGATATAGGTTTTCTTTTCTCTTTCGTAACAGACCTTGTCCACCTTTGCCATCTCTTCAAATTTCCCCTTCTCTTTAGCAGGCATTGCCTTCCACCTCTTTGAGCCCTACTTAGAAAACTGAGAAGTTGACGGAAGCATCCTGGTGCTGCTTCTTGTGCTCCTCCCAGCAAGTTTGCACGAAGAACGCGTATGATGACATTTTGCCTCTAGGCTTCTTGGGATTTCCTTTGCCCATGTTCGGTTATTTTTCCTTGGCGCGGCACAGAGTCACCCAGTGCCCATCCGGCTCTCGGCTCTCACTTGCCCGGGCGCTGTTTCCATGGAGTTCAATGTACTGCAATGGCTGTCATAAGGCTGATTTTTAAACAATGTTATCATACCTTTCAATGAACATCACCCTGTAGCCATCTCGGTAGGCTTCAGACTTGCTGGGCTTTACGTTTACTATACTATCACACTCTTTTTTTGTGTTTTTTTTTTTTTTTTTGAGTTGGAGTCTCACTCTGTCGCCCAGGCTGGAGTGCAGTGGCACGCTCATGGTCACCCCAGCATCGACCTGCTGGGCTCCGGTGATCCTTTCCGCCTCAGTCTCCTAAGTAGCTGAACTACAGGCGCGGGCTACCACGCCCGACTAATTTTTTGCTTTTTATTGTAGAGACGCGGTCTCACCAGGTTGCCCAGACCGGTCTCGAACCCGCGGGCTCAGGCAATTCTCTCGCCTCGGCCTCCCAAAGTGCTGGGATACAGGCTTGAGCCACCGCGCCAGGCCCACACTCATTTTTAATGTAGTCAGTGATGGCCAAACTTTTCTCTTTGAAGGTTGATTAGCTTCTTCAAAAAAGTCAAGGCACAGGGAATCAAATCAATGTACTATGGTGACCAATCAAACTAGGTTCATGCCATTTTCTGTCTTATAAGGAGCTGAGACTGGATTTTCTGAACAATTCTCTGAGAATAATTTCTTTAAAAATCAGTTTTAAAATATTAAAATTAATGATATCTGTATTGGAACAGTGCTCAGTTTCTCAAAGAAATTGCCTTAAAGAAAACATTTTCTTAGGCATTTTAAATCTTCTAGGTTTGAGGACGTATAGCATCTATTAGATGTTTTGTGACTACTTATTAGGGAGCCTGATAGATACACAATTAACTGTTAAAATAATTTTCTTAATTGATTGGAGTCTTCAGGTCGTACCTGGAATTAAAAAAAAAAGTTTTCTGTGTCTTCTTATGGTACTTTTCAAAACAGTGGAATTACTAATTACTACTTGCTGCTTTGTAAATAACTGAGAGGATGCACAGGGGACATTATGATGAGGTACAAATTTCACTGATAAAGAAATTAGGAAGGCCATAGGTTCTAATTTCTCACTAGCTAACTATTAGTGAGAAAACTTGTGAAGTCAAGTCTTTGTGTCTCAGATTTTTTCACTGATAAAATGGAGACCATATTTTTTTCTACCTATTTCACAGGAGCATTGAAAAGAGCAATTGAGGCAATGTGTCAGATATCTAAAGGGCTGAGCCAGTTTCAGAAATCTATGGCACTCCATCTGACATAGACCCTTCAGCCTTTTACTGGTGTCAGACTAGTTGCCACTATCATGGCCACATGCCGCACTTAAAGGATTTTACTGAGGCAGCAGGAAAATCACCACTGCCACTTTCCTCAGCCCTGCCACCCCCACCTTCCTATCTTCTGTCTCCCCCACCTTTGTGAGAAGAGTGAATATCACTTCTTTTAGTTGCCAAAACACAACCGAGACCATGACTTTGCATTTAACTTGCAAAGATGTTACACATACTCCTCCTGTGTTCATTCATATGTTCATTTAATAAGATATTAAGTGTGTATTGTGCTGGTGATGGACTCACAAGCGAGAAAGACATTATCCCTGTCTTCCATCTTAAATCTTTCAAATATGAAATACTGCTGAAGTGCTTAGACAGACTGGTAGAGAGATACATTCAATAATGCTGACATTGGATCTTTTATGTAAAGGTGAACTGTGTAATATGTGACCTTCTATGTAATGTGCGAGCTAGATAATAATGTCTATCTATCTGTGTACATTTATTTCTTTCAGGTCACAAAATATTGCTGATGTAGTTGTAGAAGCTTCATTCACACCAGAAAAAATCACTTTGTTCAACAAGAATGCTCAGATAATCCTTAAACTCTGCTTCAGTGCGAAGTTTAGACCTACTAAGCAAAATGATCGAGTGGGTGCGTAAAACTCCAAATAATCTGTTCAGAGATGGGTAGGCTTACAGAGTATTAGCCTTGAATATAACCTATATTTTGGTTTGTAGACGAAAAGAAATAAGGGATTTTTGTTGAAGACTAAATTGTCACTTAAATTACCATGCATTTGAGGTGCCTGAGAATGATTCATTTGTCATGGAAGGTTTTTTTCTTTTTTTTAAGATCTTTTTTCTTCATCTCTAGAAGATGAAATTCTGCTGCAGAAAATTGTGATCTTTGTGATGCAATCAAGGGCCCTCCCAACTCTATCCTTTGAGTTTCTCTTGCCCACAGATCCCTCACTTAAAACCCTGGGCACACACATTATGCTGGACTGCTGCCATTTTTTTTTTTGAGTTGGAGTCTCACTCTGTCGCCCAGACTGGAGTGCAGTGGCCGCTCCCGGCCACCGCAGCCTCGACCTACAGGGCTCCGGCGATCCTTCCGCCTCAGCCTTCCAAGTAGCCGGAATTACAGGCATGTGCTACCACGCCCGGCTGATTTTTTGAGTTATTGTAGAGATGAGGTCTCGCTGCCCAGGCGGGTCTCGAACCCGCGGGCTTAGGCAATCCACTCACCTCAGCCTCCCAAAGGCACAGGATTACAGGCTGAGCCACCGAGCCCGGCTTGCTGCCAGTTTTGAATGAGTGTGCCACGTTGGCTATGACATGATCTACATAGGACATGGTCAGTAAAAGTATCAAATGTTGTTCTTGTTCTTGAGGAAATAATAAGCATTCCCAATAATGAAAGTTATAAATGAAAACAATATATATAATTTATGCCCAGTATTTTAAATTTTCTAAAGAATACAAAGAAGTCTGAATTGCATCTCATCAGACAGGGAAAGGTGAGGGAAATCCTGTGGGCAAGTGTCAGCAGGAATTGTCAACTTTTTTGAGGGACTGGCCAAGGTGTCTTTCAAACCTGGCTGAGATCCCACATCCTCCGAACCCTTTTCTAACCACTTTATCTCATCTTTATCTCAGCATCCAATTACCTTAGCACCCTCAATAACATAGCATTCAATGTAATGCTTGATAAACACTTGATTCAGAGCTGCCGTCTTTCATTTACTGCTGCTTTATAGGTTCTAATCCACTTTCCATCAGATTTTGGCTCTAAACTTCAAAACCTGTAGTTTATCATTAAGTGACTAATAAATAAACCAAAAACTAAAAATATAAAAACAGTTTATTTGCCAAGATATAAATAAGGTAAGATATAAATAAGGAAAGAACACAAGTCAAATTAAGATTCACATCTTGGCACATGTTCTATATTTTCCTACATTTCATTTCCATTTGGAAGTTTTTCTTTCTGGTATTCAAACATTGACCTAACTTTGAATAGTGTATCTCACCGACCCGACTTGTAGTACATCTAACAGGGTAGCCATGAGAGTTAAGTCAAAAACTGTTGCTATATAAGCATTAAGTGGCTAGTCTGCCTAATAGATTAACTTGGAAAATATATTTATTGACAGTAATGGCTGGTTGGTCAGCTCTCCAGGTCTGGAGCATAGATGTGTCTCAAGTCCCTTCAACTTTTTGACTATATTTCACCCCTTATGGTGCCGCACACTCAAAAATTCTACTTTCAAAGAATTTCCTTCCCATTGACTGGCTGCTGAGGGTCTCTGAACTTTTTCATTACTGGGCATCTTTCCCTTTGAATCCTTTTCCCTGATGCCTTCAGATCCACAGACAAGCCAAATGAAGTCACTGTGAGATCATTTGTCACTTCATTGCTTGGCAATGAATCATGTGTATGACCTGAATCTCGTCTTCATAACTGGGAATTTATAAAGTGTATGGTTTCTATTATTTATTGCATCAGGTGCACACTCCAGTTTAACCTTAATCATGTTTTTAAAAAATAATATATTGCCTATAAGACTTTATATCATTTTTACCAAGTTGCTTGAAAAAAAAATGAAAAAGCATTATCATGTGCACTTTGTTTTAACTTTAGTCATCTCCTACCATTATTTTTCCTTTCCCTTATTTTCCCCTTATTTTTAGTTTATTTGATTCTTTTACATTTTATCTATCTTTATTGGCCTCACAACATAATTAGAGCAAAAAATATATAACAGCATATCTAATAGGTATTTTAAAAGCAACAAGTAGGCCGGGCTAGGTGGCTCAGCCTGTAATCCCAGCACTTTGAGAGGCTGAGGCAAGTGCATTGCCTGAGCCTGTGGATCTGAGACCAGCCCGGGCAAATTGGCGAGACCTCGTCTCTACAATAAATCAAAAAATTAACAGAATTGATGTTTTGGGAAGTATAGGCAACCTTTAAAATATGTAAAATAATAAAATAAGATAGGGTAATTCAAAATAAGGCAGTTGATGCTATGAATAGCACCAGATGTTTTCTCTCAATTTTGGACATATGGCGGGTGGACTTTACTTAAAGGTAATAATTCTCATAGATTGGACTTTAGTACTGACATCAATTATTATCACATAATTATTTTTCATGGGTTGGTATTGTTATCTCTGTTTCACAGATGAGGAAACAGGTTCAAAGAGGTTAAGTAAATTGCCTGAGGTCATAGAGCTCATAAACTGCAGAATAGGGATTCGAACCAGTCTGTCTGATAGAAACCTTATTGCTGCAGTGCTGCATGCATTTCTTCATGTAAGCATCTAGAATATGTCAGGCACTGTACATGTTCCTTTAGAGTATCTCAGTTAATTCTCACAATAAACTAATCATAACTGCATGGAAACAGAAAGAACATGAGCTCTTATTTACAAAATACCCCAATTGTATTTCTGACCATGACCTAGCTGTGTGAACTTAGGCAAATTATTTTACCTCTTTTATTCTAGTTCATTTTCTGAAAAATTGGAGCACGATATCCACTTTCCAGATTTATAGTAAAATGTGTATAGTACATGAGAATGTGCTTGCTTGTAGCCACTCAGTAACTCTTCCTTTCCTTTCTGCACCTTCGTGTTGTGGATGATGAAGCCAATGCTTGAGGGGTGAAACATTTGCCAGGTTCGTCCAGTAGGTTTTCTGGCAGCAAGTTCAATTTTCTTTCCTCTGCTTAAAATCACATTTCTTTGTATCCAGTCATCTACATCATATCAGAACTAGAATTATAAATGACATGTGGTGCTATCAGTGGTTCAAAATCCACCAATGTAAAGACTATTTTCATATTTTCTTGAAGTCAGATACTTTGACAAATAAGACACAACAAAGCAGGGATGATTTTTCCTTACCGGTGCCATTTGTAATAACATTTCTTTATGATTTTTATCATAGCCATTACATATAACATCACACTTGATGCAGATGGCTTTTCATCCAGAGTAACATCCAGGGGTTTATTTAAAGAAAATAATGAAAGGTGCCTTCAGAAGAATGTGTTAGTAAGTCAAACACAGAGCTGCTCTGAACACATCATCCATATACAGGTGAGACCTCAGCATCATCCCTTTTCATCTCATTTCTTCTTAAAGGCAAATGAGCGGTGAAAGTCTGAAATAGAAGTGTATGCGTTTAAAATGTAGCCCTTCTAATGAATACCTTTCTTGTCCAATTCTGTGAACAGGAAGTATAGACCCTTTACACTACTACTCATGGTCACGTCTTATTATTACATAAGTTAGTAGCATTACATTTCATTTGGATTGCATCTAAAAGGGCTGAAAATAAAATTCTTAAAGAAATTAGAGACAGTGTTTTTTTAAATGTTAATTGGAAGAACTTTCAGTTAACAATAAATTTTATTTTGACATTGCCCTGTCAAGGAAAAAACTGTATCCATATTTAAGTGACTGAAAACTATAATGTGAATTGTTGTTTTCACTGTTAGATTTAAGTTAACATAGATGAAGTATGGAAAATTATGAGGAATTGTTTGTTCTAATTGTATACCATAATTACTACAGTTCACATGGATTAAGAAAATCTCCCAAGTTGGAAAAATGCTTTTCAGGAGAAAAATTACAACAGTAAATTTATTTTATAAATTATATAGTTATTTCCTTTTAGAAGCCACATGATGTTATTTGAAAGTGTAACTGACTAAGGAAACTATTTTTTAAAAAGTTGTTTAAGTAATTTCCTAGAATATGGTTCTCAAAAGAATTGCCAAGGGAACTTTTAAAAAATGCATACTTGGGGTCCCCACTATCAGAAATCTAGTTTTTTAGGTCCAAGGAATATGCAGGTTTAAGGAGAACCCCAGATATTTCCAATGCAGGTGGATGGGATAGAGAACATACTTTAAGACATGTGAAGTACAAGATTTGGAAAGACATAAAATTAATGGTTAGATGAATTAAAATAAGTTGTTTAGTTTATTGTTTGTGAAGGTCTGGAAATTTTTGTTATTAAGGTGCTGATCATACTGGTATTTTAAGGAAAATAAGCTGGTTTCTAGTCTTTCCAGTCCTGTGCTAAGTGGTAGATTAAATTACACATGTACTCTATAGTGGGGAAATGAAGACAGTCAGACTGTTTTTATTTTTTAAAAATGAAACAAAAGAAAACAACAACAACAAACCCTCCTTGATGTCATTAACATCCTATGTGCTAAGCCTGCAGCCAGCCCAGGAAGGACTTCCTCATAATCTGGAGCTGTCCTAGTAGACAGCTGTGCAAAATAACTCAAGAGTTAGGAGTAAGTCCTGCCTTGATTGGACTAAATAATACTGAAAATACCGCTTCTCAGGAAAAGGTAAATTAGAATGTTAAGGTTTATCATTTGTATAGATGTGTTTCTTTCTTGACGAGAAGAGTTGTGTAAGAAGATTGCTAGATGACTTATTTTGGCATTTTCCCTTAGACAGGAGGCCTCAAAAATGAAGGGACCGTTGCTTCCTGGAATGTTACAAATTCTCTATACTCCATAGTAATGATAAAATGAAGAAGTTGTATTTGTCACTAGGTAGGCTAGCTTTGATGACCACGAGTGACAAATGCATCATTTTATATGTGCAAGGAGCAACACAACTCCTAACAGTCAGCTAGGGCCAGAAGTCAGGAAGCTTGATTGAGAATGTGGTAATCACCTTCGTCTGGTTTTATAGCACAGAGTCAGATTCTGTCCAAGGAAAGGATTCTTATCCATTACCAGTCTTGGGCACCTTCCTTTCTAGGTCATAATATTCCCTTCCAGAGACTTGGTCAGGAAACTTAAAGATCCTTAAGTCTTGGCAATAGGAATTAGAAGGGTATAGCCAACAACCCAAGAGCTGGGTACTGACATAGGAGTCTTTGGAGTAGTAAAAGTGGACATATCATCTAATGTTTACAATTACTAATAAGCTTAATTAAGAATCCCTGCTACAGATTTTTACTGGACCCAAGTCTTAAGTTTCTTAGTAGTAGAGAGGCAAACAGCAGAATTAGGATGGGAAAGAAGAAGCAAGTCTCAATCTTTCAAAACAAGAATAATCTATGTAGTTGAGAATGGACTGTGCTCTTAACTGCAAGCACATTTGTGATCATTTTCTTATATAAAAGCTGCTGTACCCTAATAAACTGATTGTGTGTGTGTACATGTGTGTGTGTTTAGAAGCCCTCTGATGTTGTCAACCCTTTGGATCTGCGTGTGAACATCAGTCTGGAAAACCCTGGCACTAGTCCTGCCCTTGAAGCCTATTCTGAGACTGCCAAAATCTTCAGCGTAAGTGCAGCTTGCCTTTCCTGAACTTAATCTGGCTAACAAAGCTTCATAGTAACAGAGAATACTTAGGACATAGTTTTTAAATTCTTAATTTTATAAACAAAATACAATTACATGTGTCAAATTCACTAGTGTTTTAAATTCTGTGAAGACAGAGATTTTTGTGTTTCTTGCTCGTGGTTCTATTTCCAGCCCTTACAGGAAAGCCTGGTATTCAATAAATATTTATTGAAGAAATAAATAAAAATTAAGTAAACACCTGTGCTATTTAAAAAATAAAATATCACCAGTGTCTAGGAAGCACTTTCTATTGCTGCCCCTATCATATCCAATTTGGTCTGGCTTCCCCAGGGAAAACATTATCATGAATTTTAGGTTTTTCAGTGCTTTTTAAATTGATTTTGCTAAACGTGTATATTTTCCTGAAACATTGCTTAGTTTTGCACTTATGTAAATGGAACAGTATTGTATGTATTCTTCTGCAATTTGCCTTTTTAGCCAAAAAGCATATAGATGAATCTTTTTTCCTTTTTTGTAGATTCCTTTTCATAAAGACTGTGGTGATGATGGACTGTGCATCTCTGATCTAGTCCTGGATGTCCAACAGCTACCAGATGTGCGGTAAGGTTTACTTTAAAGCTCTGTGTAAAATGTAGAAATAAAAGATACATTGGATGACTTATGTAAATGAATGTTTATGGAGGTTTTTGCTGCAAAAGAAATAGTCATAATTAGTTAAGACCTTTAAAAATAATTTGTTTCTACTATTCACGTCAGAGTAAAAACAATAAGAAATATCAAATTATCTGTATTTAAATGATTCCTTTCCCTCATAATACAAGGAAGAAAATCTAATAGCATTTACTTATTTATTGTCAGTATCATTTTAATACAAAGATGGTTTATTATTAAGCAATTTTCTCAGTATTTCAAATAAATCTAAAGAGTTTACTTTTTAAAGAAGTGAAGTGCTTGCATACTGAATTTTTTAAAAATCTTAATGGCTTTCGTTTTCTACTTTTTTACTTTTAACAGAGAACAACCCTTTATTGTCAGCAACCAAAACAAAAGGCTAACATTTTCAGTAACACTGAAGAACAAAAGGGAGAGTGCATACAACTCTGGAGTTGTTGTTGATTTTTCAGAAAACTTATTTTTTGCGTCATTCTCCATGCCGGTATGTGATGACCCCTGCATTCCCAATGTTATTTCCTCCCTATTATCAGTCACTGTCTTCTTCAAGCCCTTTGTGTTATCTGAAGAGTCACGTGAACCCTCTGCCTGCTGCATCCTAACTTAGTGGCTTCCGACTGGTTAAACCGCATGAGGACATAGTTTGGCTCTGTATCTAGACCAGTTGTACTTCACAGCTCGGGTCAGTTTTTCCTTTACCCTGAGGCTTGGCAGCAGTGGCCAGACACTCCCATAACTCTTCTAGAGCCATCAGGGTGATGAGGCTGCTGTGCTCCGCACAGATGTGATGCACTTGCTCTAAGACATTCGAGTCCTGAAGCTTAGCTGAGCTTTGCAACCACAGGTCTTGTTGCTGCCAAGATGCTGCATTCCAGCAAAGCCAGTTACTCATGTTGACTTGATCACTATACCAGGGACACACTTGACCATGAGTGCCCCCTGGCCTCTTCTCTACCACCAAGCGAAGAAGAAACAAAAGGATTATTAAGCTATGATTTTATTTAGTTTAATGTTAATGTGAACTTAATAGATTTAGAATTCCAAACCCATCCTGACCTTGGTGTTTAAATGTCCCATGCCAAATGGCAACTACTTAAAGAGGGAAAAAACAACTTGAAGAAAACTAAAAGACATTCTTTAAAGTATTTAAAACATCAACATCAACATATGGTTTTGTCTTCTTCTATTGAAAATACAAATTTTAAATAGATTGAGACAAAATTAATCGTAAAGCATTTATGAATATTGGATTAAAGCTATTTGCATTTCTGAAATATAAAAACTATGAATTCCTTCTGGGAAAAAATAGTTCCAATATTTAATCTCTTCTTTGGTTTGTCGGTTGTCCTGGTTATCTTTAGCTTTAGCTGTAAAAAATATTAAACAAGGAGGGGACTCAAAAAATCCCAGAATTTATTAAAAATTTGTGTATTCTTACATGTTTAAACTTCAGTCACCTTCAAAGTACACCATTTGATACACCTATTGAGATGCTTTTTCCATGGCTCAAAACAAAACCATTTTTGAACTTATCAGTTTTGATGCCTTTTAGTGCTCCTGCTGTTTTTTGTTTCACCTCTCCCATATCAGCAAAACATTTCGAGAACTTTTTTCATCCAGGGAAATAAACAATCAAAAAAAAAAAGTTTGCTGGGGTGAGATTGGGTGAACAAGGAGGGTGTGGCACAGGGGTCATACTGTTTTTGGTGAAAAATCGCTGAATACTCAACCTGGTATGGGAAGTTGCATTGTCATGGTGTGTTGTCATGGCAGAAGTCACCTGTTTGCCACAACTTGGGATGTTTCTTCTGCAAAATCATGACCTTCTCAAAACTTCCAGATAAAAACTTTGATTGATTGCTTGATCCAGAGGAACAAATTCTGAGTATACTACAAGGAATACTGCCCTCCAAAAGATAATTCCTGTTTTCAGGGGTCTCCCCTCGTATTAACCACCTGGACAGTAGAAGACTTCAAGTGTGGACAGAAAATAAACTATTTCAGTGTGAACTATCCTCACAGCTAAAATGTCCCTATACCTCTTTTACCATGTGTGTATACATACATACACACACACACGTTATACGCTAACCAATCACTGTTGTCTCTTTGGTCTTGTTCAGGTTGATGGGACAGAAGTAACATGCCAGGTGGCTTCATCTCAGAAGTCTGTTACCTGTGACGTAGGCTACCCTGCTTTAAAGAGGGAACAACAGGTACAACTTGCATTTCATCCTCAAATCCTTACACTCCCCTCCTCAGCATGTGCGTTCATTTACCATCATAACATCTTCTTTATTAGGTATCAACATTTATAGACATTACAAAATAATTGGCTTCATACTTAGAGGAAGTTTTTATATCTAAAGCTTTCTTTAAAAATTTTTTAATATCTTAATTATTAATAAAAGCAGAATTTCTCACATGCAATTCATTCCAAAACATATACACAATATGGAAAGTTATTTTTGTCTGAATATGTTGACCAATATCGATCAAAGTGTTATACAGAGTCATAGAGATCATTCGTTAATCTCTGATAACAAATTTTACATAAGCACAAAGCTTTCAAATTCAGGTGCTTGGATTTCAAAGTACAGGTGCCTAGATAACACATATGTCTACATACATTAAGCTTTCCTAATTCCAGAGTGAGGCATGGTAAAGCAAGGTGGACAAGTAAAGATATCCTACAAATTTGAAATGTTAAGGTATATAAATTCCAATCAAATTGGAGTTTACTTTTATGGTAAACGTCTTTTTTCTTATTGTCCCCTGAGTATGAAGCATCATAGATTGATGAATTTTCATTTTATACATAGGTGACTTTTACGATTAACTTTGACTTCAATCTTCAAAATCTTCAGAATCAGGCTACTCTTCGTTTCCAAGCCTTAAGGTAAAAACATAATGAAGACTGATGATGAATGCTTTTATAATATTTCTCTTTAAGTAATTTCTTCATCTTGGGTTCATTCAATAGTGAAAGCCAAGAAGAAAACAAGGCAGATAATTTGGTCAACCTCAAAATTCCTCTTCTGTATGATGCCGAAATTCACTTAACAAGGTAGGTGAAGCAGTGTATAGCCTGTCACCAGTGATACCACTCTGGTTTGGAACAAAACTAGCTCATGGTTGAAGAAGTCCTCTATAGGCTCATTATTAACTGGAGAATTTGAATGAAAATATCTTCCCCTTGTCAACTGAAAGAGAAGTCCGCAGACAGATTGTTCCCTAGGAAAACCTTGAGTGGTTCTTTAGGTTGTTTTTAAGTGAGGGCAGCCCAGGAAGACAGAGGATAACTCTTTTGCCACATGCAGCAGGCACACTCCTCTGCACGTCCTCACAGGAGCTGCAAAGCATCCCAAGATGTTGAAACAGAATTCTCAAGGGTCCTGAGAGTTGTCAACACTTTCTTGTCACTGCTTTACTCTCAAGCAGTATCCCCACTGTTGTACCTTGAAGCCTCAAGCACAATGCTCTGCCCTAGGTAGGTCCCCAACAAATACCGAATCTAGGCACAGATTTAATAGTCAGATATTGAAACTAGATCAAGTCTAGTTTTGGGGTGGAAATTTCTGACATAACAGAAATTTCTTCCAACCTGGAGGAAATGAGGAATTTTCCAAAGGAGGTCATCCATAAAATGCTTTATTCCCTCTTTTAGCCCTCCCAAAGCAAGTGAACCCAAGGGCAGTGGGCAAGATGTTACTGGTTGACACCAACTATCCTGAATTGTTCAGAGGGAAAGGTGTCTTGGGAAGGGGATTACAAATAAATCCCACAGGTGGTAGAAGGTTGATGTCACTGTAATGTACACTTAGAAGAAAGATAAGTTTATGGCACAGACACACTGGATCACAGCCACGCAGGTGTGCATGCTGTAGGTGAGGCCTACCTCCAAGTCTGGGAACTAGACTTCTCTACCTCCTAGCACAGATCAGTGACCCCTAAAAAACCCACTGCAATGTTTTCCAAAGTTCAGTGACAGCAGGTTTTTCTAACATCCACCACATCACCCCAGCCCCCAAAAGCGTGGAATTTGTAGATCATCCAATAGATCACTGAACAAAAACAAAAAGGAAAATATATCATCATGTCTAGAGCTTGAGACACATGAGCAAAGATGAAAAGAATGCTTCTGTAGTAAGTGAGTTGCAAACAGCCCCAGTAGAAGCAAAATACAGTCCAAGTTATCCCTTTCTGAAAAATTCATCAGTAACTGCAGATTTCAAATGACCCTCACATGTAATTGAATGCAACCAAGGAGATTGATATTGCCACATTTCCTGAATTTTTTTCTTTTTACTTATATTGATTCTTTCTTTACTTAAACACTTTTTGTCAATACTTTTTATCATACCACTCTCCTACCATGGCCTATTTTTTCAGATATTTTAACATGAAATAAATGTAAGATTAAAGTGGGACTTCACTTTTACTACTTAACCTCTTAGGTATATACATATTTGTGGGATGGATAATTTGAATTCTAATATAGTCTAATGTTCATTAAAATGTATCATCTAGTCAAAAAATTAACAAAGAGAATTATAAAGAACAAAAATTAAAATGGCTCTTACTCCTACTACCTAGAAAATCCAAACATTACAGAAAGACACACAAAGAGAAGTAAGATCATTCCTTCCCACCTTCCCTGTTGCCACTCCCCATAGGAAACTATCAAGACTGTTTTCAGAATACCTTCCAGAAGTGGGGTTTGCTTTCCTACCAGGGTATATGCATGTAATACATACATGTGCACACAAACATTTACCAAAAAGAAACGATAAAACACTCTTCTGTACCTTTCTTTTTACATAATCTTAGAGAAGTTTTCCCACCAAAACATACAGCTCTAACATTGTAATCCTTGCTGGATCATAATTTATGTAACCCATCTAATTTTAATGATGATATTTGGTTATTTTGCATTTTTATTTTGTGTAATCCTTATAAAGCAATACTACCAAAATTTCTTAACATCTTTGTAAACTTTTGAGAAAAAATAACAACCTATCTAATTATTGAGTGTATCCCTTAGCAGTAACTTTGAAACTGTGTAATTGTGTCATTATATTGTGCAAATACAATGAGTGAAACAGTAATAATAGTGTTATTTAAAAACAGGATCCTCCTGAGTATAGCTGATTGCTGTTGTAAATATGTTGATCAACATTTAAGTAACTTAGGAACATTTAAATAGCAAATGGGAAAGTGTCCGATCTTTTTAAAATGCAAAAGCAGGCCAGGCTCGGTGGCTCAACCTGTAATCCCACGCTTTGGGAGGCCGAGGTGAGTGAACTGCCTGAGCCCGCGGGTTCGAGACCTGCCTGGGCAACTTGGCAAGACCTCATCTCTACAATAAATAAAAAAATTAGCTGGGCGTGGTAGCACGCGCCTGTAACTCCGGCTACTCAGAAGGCTGAGGTGGAAGGATCGCCGGAGCCCAGCAGGTCGAGGCTGCGGTGGCCGGGAGTGGCCACTGCATCCAGTCTGGTTGACAGAGTGAGACTCCAACTCAAAAAAATAAATAAATAAATAATAAAATAAAATGCAAAAGCAGAACATATTAATTTAGAAATTGGCCCCATTTAGGAGTTCACACAAAGATCTTCTGGAAGGCAAAGGAAATAATTCATGTACACACAGCCAGACTTTCTATTTCAAGTCGAGGTTTTCCCATTTTCCACGTAAGGCTGACAAATCACTGTTTCCTCTTATATATATAACCTTGACATATACCACATCTATTCCAGTCTCCCTATGACATATTTTCCTTTTGAGAATTTGGGGAAAACATTTAAGGCAAAAAAGAGAGAAAGGCAAAGTTTCAGTAAAGAAACCAAAAAATTCTATCTGGGAAAATGTTCAACCCAATGTTTTTAAGAAATGGAATCAACATTCTGTAATTAAGATAAATTATTCAGTGGGAATAGAGAGGATATGCATGGTGCTTCTCAGGCCCCTCTCCTCAATATCCACTCCTCAACTCCCACCCCAGAATTCCACCTCAGAGCCCCAGAAATGTGAGGACAAGGGATATCTCATTCTTGTCTGAGTGGTCCGTTAGGGGTTCCTCTGTCCTAGTCATCACTTTACTTGCAGACCTTAATTGGCAATCCCAAGCAAGAAAAGTTCAAGATCAGTTCAGTGCCTATAAATCTAGTCTAATAAAGGCTCCAGGTCTTCCATCCTTAAGGTGATTTTTACACTAGTGATGGAAGCAGATTTGACCAACCCCAAATCAGACCCAAACCATTTGAGTTGGTTTGGAACTAGAGGAGGACAGGAAGAAGGAATAACAAAGAAAATATGTGCCCTATTTCACAGGCATCCATTGATAAGTACTAAAGGAACTAATACCCAATTATCTTATCATTGTATTTTGGCCATAACAAGTGGCTTATAAAAACCCCAGCTTACAAATCCGTTTATCCAACCAACAAAGACTGAGTGTCCACTATATTAACATACCAATAAATATATCAGTAATCTTGACAAGAGTTCTACTATCAGCTCTAAATAATACTTTTGTGCTTATTTTAGAAACTCGATAACTGGTATACAGAATGCACAGACTCTTAGTGAAAGTCCATGAAGGGGTACAGGAAGGAGTTTATGTTAGTCTTAGAAACATACTTTAAGCCATAAGCCCATAACAAGCATTTGTTTTTATTTAGTGCTTTTGTAACTAAAAGTAAACTTTTGATTGTATCTAAGCTATAAAAGACAATCCAGAAAAAGAACTTTAATAAAAGAAATAAATGTTTTCTGAGAATAACAACAAAACTAAAATATTTGAATTTACAAACATCGTCCAACAGATCCACCAACATAAATTTTTATGAAGTCTCCTCGGATGAGAACGTTCCTTCTGTCGTGCACAATTTTGAAGATATTGGTCCAAAATTCATCTTTTCCCTTAAGGTCAGTAAGCCTGTCATAAGGATGGTAAATCCAGGAGAAGTGGGGAAGGAAAAAAAATGAGTCTGGGAAGAGATGAAGATGAAAAGAAGTTGAAATACATCAGTGGTTCTCAAATTTGATCATGCATTAAAATCACCTGGAGGAATTGTTAAAACACAGATTTCTAAACCTCATCCCCCAAACTTCTGATTAACTAGGTCTGGGGTGGGCCTAAAAATTTGCATTTCTAATAAGTTCTTAGATGATGCTTATGCTGCTGAGCCAGGCACCATACTTTAAGAACTACTAGGATAGATCATAGATAAGTAAACAACTGGGCTTTGTGCCTCTTATGTGTCCTGAGTAAGGGAAAATTGATACTTTGAAGGCAAATATTCAACATTAATTAACAGAGCATTACTATAATGGTATTGCTGAGGGTAAAAGTCTTTGGAATAGAATCATTATGCCAATATGTCCTCAGAGATCACTTCTGTTTGTGAAGTTTACCATTTATATACAAATTTGTACAGTCATATTAGGTTGTATCTAAAAATATTTTAAATCAAATCCTATTAGCTATTAGTAGACAATTATTAATCTAAAGATTATCATCAGTTAAAGAGACATTATTTGTAAAAGCATGACTATTTTGTAATATAATAACAGAAACTTTGAAAAGTAAAAAAATTCACCTACCACCCTAAGTCATGCTATTTTATTTTTGTTCATTTCTCACTTGTTCATTACATGGCTGCAACCCTGCAATTCTGTGATTTAAAAAAATCTTTAAAGAATCTTTGTGATTCAGCTATCAGAGTTTATAAAATGTGAATGGTATTTGGCAACTATATTTTTTAGTGACATCTAATCAATTCATAGTAGTAAAATAATATTCATAGAAAATGTAATAAGTATCAGCCATTGTATCAAGTGCTTTACATATGTGACCCCATTTAATTCCCAGATCAGTGAGGATGATGGTACCATGCTGATTCCTAGGGATGTTATTTAAAATGTTTAACAACCAGTAGGGCATGAGCCCTGGCTATTAGAACATAAACCCCACCAGTGAGAACAGTTGTTGTACCAGTGCCCTGTACCAGCAATGCCTGCTGAATTTCTGCTGATGTTTATTTTACAAATAAGAAAACTGAACCCAGAGAGGTCAAGTTCCTTGTCCCAAGCCACGCTGCTAATCAGCACTGAGTGGTATCCCACACCCGAGTAGCCCAACTCCGCAGACACTGTTTTAAACCATTTATACCACATCTTTGAAGTCACAAATTAGTTTCCCATTACAGTGGTAGGTGTTGAGTTTTTTTCTATTAAGAGGTGAGACACACAGAGAACTGAAGTGTTACTCTGAAGCAATGATGAACTTTAGAGTACTTCATCTTACCACTTTGTAGTTAGTTGCCCTTCATTCACCAAGAGGTTTTTTATCACTTTTCTTGCATCCTATACATCCTGTAGTGATGCCAGCATGTTTTAATTCTCTACATAGGTAACAACAGGAACTGTTCCAGTAAGCATGGCATCTGTAATCATCCACATCCCTCAATACACAAAAGAAAAGAACCCACTGATGTACCTGACTGGGGTGCACACAGACCAGGTAGGATAACAAAATTGCCGATAAAAATGTACACTTTCAGGATGGAGATAACCTATGAAGCTGGGATGATCCTGTCTGACATTTTATAGTTGGGAAACACAAGATAAACTCCTATGCGTTCCAGGTCCCAATTAACTAGCACTAATTTCATATTAGAAGCAGGATATTGTTACAAAAAACACATGGCTTAGTCCAGGGACTTACAGGTGGCAGAAAGTATTCCAAAAGTCCTGTTTTGGCCAGGTATAGGTCTGAGTTTGACAGGCCCTGTTAAGAGACAATACTGGAAAGGCTGAACCCAAGGTGGGAACGCAGTAGGTCTACACAGCTGCAATTAGTAGCCGGTCTTTAAGCAGCCACCTGGACTTTCTCCTGGTAATAATCAGCCTGACTGTTCATTTTAATTGCTCAGGTTGCTTTTTTTCTTTTTCTTTTTTGAGTTGGAGTCTCACTTTGTCACCCAGGCTGGAGTACAGTGGCACACTCACGGCCACCCCAGCATCTACTTGCTGGGCCCAGGAGATCTTTCTGCCTCAGTCTTCCAAGTAACTGGAACTACAGGCATGAGCTACAACACCCAACTAATTTTTTAAAATTTATTTTAGAGATGAAGTCTCACCAAGCTGCCCAGGGTGTTCCCAAACCTGTAGGCTCAGGCAATCCTCTCACCATGGCCTCCCAAAGTGCTAGGATTACAGGCTTGAGCCACCATGCCCAGCCTCAGGTTGCTTTTTAAATGAGTGAAGCTGAGCCCCACACAAGACAATGAAACCAGAATCTCTAGGTGTAAGGTTCTAACACCTGTGTTTTTCTTTAAAACATTCCCAGGTGGTTCTACCAGGCAGCCTGGAATGAGAAGCTCAGTTCTAGCCAAACCCTTGACATTGGCTCACCTCAGTCCAGCACATAGCTGGTTTTACAGTCATATTATTTCTGTAATATGCATAGGAGGTTACAGGATATCAAAATCCTAAAATGTTCCACAGAAAGGAACCCTGTTAAATAGCTCACAGTCTATTGCTATTACAAAGTTGCCTCATCACATATGAGATAGCCTACCTCATCAAGTCAAATCAGGAGGAATCAAACACTTCACATTTAACTAGCAATTATAAGAAATGTAACCAGGTCAGCACAATTGAAAGAAGCCTAACAGCCCCTCCCCTGTCCCTACATGTGACAGTAGGATTTCCTATCATGTTGAAAGGAACATCATAAATCATTTTGCCTCCTAAATTTGATTGTATGTTCCTCTTTATAGACTGGTGACATCAATCCACTGAAAATAGGACAAACATCTTCTTCTGTATCTTTCAAGAATGAAAATTTCCAGCACATAAATGAACTGGTGAGGACAGGTTAAGATGTGAAAATTTCCCTCTGTGATTCACTGTTTCATCTGGAGTTAAAGCACTTCTCCCATGAGCTGATGTCATAAAACTTTCTTATGTGGCTAATATGAATTGAGATATAGAAAATACATGCTGAAATCTAGATTATTGGAATTATTACTAATCCCATTGCTTATAAAGTACAAGTTCCAAACTTCATGACGTCAAAAGGACTCATGAAGCTACAGTGTTTATTTACTGTGCACTTTGGAAACATGACAAAGAGCTGGGAAGGATCCAGTCATGTTCTTTCAGAGGTGAAACCCCTCTTATTCCCCTTTCACATAATCACTGATGTCTTTTATTTAGCTGTGAAATATGCTGCTACCCTTCACTATTTTTCAATATTTTATTATTTCTTGCTCCCAAGCTCCGCCACCTTCTTTGGGAGAGACTAGTCTAGCCTCCAGCGTGGTGCTTGGCACATATGGTGTATTCAGATGAGTAAACATTTAGTAAGCAATAAACTCTAAACAAACCACAGTTCTCTGCTGTGAAGAATATTAAAATTCTCCTGGTTTTCCTTGATTGCAGTTGTTTGTTTTGTGAATTATGGGGAAAATGGGGATCTAAAATTGTAATTCTTTTCATGTGAGTTAATACACAAATAGATACATGTGTACTGTAACATGGGTAGATCATCCTACCTTATGGCCTTAGGCATAGACCAACATGTCATAGACTTTTTAAAAATAGACTTCATTTTTAAGAGAATTTTTAGGTTCACAGCAGAATTGAGTGAAAGGTACAGAAGTTTCCCACATACCCCTTCCCACATACCCCTAGCCTCCCCCACTAGCAAAATCCTGCACCAGAGTTATACATTTGTGACAACTGATGAAACTATACTGATATATTATTATTACCTAAAATTCAGTTACATTAGGGTTCATTCTTGGCATTGTTAAAATCTATGCTGTGGATTTTGACAAATGTATAATGATATGTATCCCCAATTATAGTATCATGCAGGGTGTTTTCGCTGCCCTAAAAATCCTCTGTGCTCCCCTACCCACAGCTCTTGGAACCACCAATCCTTTTATTGTCAACTTTTTAAAAAATCTAAGGCATCCATCCTTAGATTTTTTAACACATCTCTTATATGTTTAATAATTTAGTTGACTGTTACATTGTTGATAAACGTGACTTATTTATGGCTTTTTGTTTTCTTGGTTTTTTTAAGGCTTAGAAATAATGCAATAAACAGGCTTGATGTACTTTGTTCCACACACTTTTTATTACCTCCTGAAGACAATTTTCTATACAGGAAATTGATGGGGCAAAGGGTGTGTACTTTTTACATTTTGAGACATAGTCCCAAGTCCCTTGAAGAAGGGTTACAATTATTAATAAGTTTATGAGATTGCCTGTTTCCCTAGATCCTTCCCAGCACTAGGTTTTATCTATTTTTGTACAGTTTTAGTATTTGTTTTTAATACCCATACTAACTCACTCTCTCTCATCATTGACACCCTATAAGACCTGCAAAACTGCTTCCTGTAGAAATGTTACCTGCTGGCTGAAAGACCTTCACATGAAAGGAGAATATTTTGTTAATGTGTCTACCAGAATTTGGAATGGGACTTTTGCATCAGTAAGTATAAGCTTTACTTACTGGATTTATCAAGAGCAAGGAAGCATAAGACTTCAGTATCAAGAAGTTCTTGCCCTTTGACAAAATTAGTATTTTGGCTAATGTCAGCAATGTCCAGATAACCCAGAGCAACTGTACCCTGAAAGTCAGCATGTTTCTGTCCTTTTCCAACACTTGCCCAATCTGTCTGTGCCTCAGCCACTTGGGATGCTTGTAAAAGGGTCTGCTTCTTAGACTCCATGTGACCTACCACATCAACGAGAATGGTGTCAAGGTCACCTCTGCTGCCCTGGGGTACAATAGGCTGCCTGCTTTGTCTCCCTCCACAAGCTCTCAACGTTTCCATTTTCCCAATCTCTTCCACCATAACTAAATCAAAATGTGGATGTCTCTGACACTCTTTCCTTGAGCTCTCAGCTAATTGTTTGATTGATCTCAACCCACCCAGCAGATAAATCCAGCATAGGAATTTAGAGCTAGGTAACCAGTCTGCTCTCCTGTTTCTCCTTTTAACCTTTCTCTGATAAAAGAGCCCAGTGAGCAAATGACTTCTTAAGTTACTTCAATTCTTGTGAAAAGTTTGAAGAAGGTGCCAAAACAATGTCAGAGTTGTTTTTCCATTTGACAGTAGTGAGTCTACCCTAGTGATATTTGCTTTCAGCAGAGACTTTAGTAACCAGAATTTCAGTCTGGCATGAAAAAAATGTAAGAATAGACAGGCCTCCTTAAATCTGCTTGAGTGGCCAGCCTTTCCTTTTCTCAACATGGGCACTGATAGAGGTGGCAAAATAGAAATTAGCCTGAAACCTCCTTGGACTCACTGGATTTTTGTTTTTAAGTAAGATGGTCACAATCAGACTCTACTCCCCCACCCTTTTTTTTTATTTTTTAGCATTTCACGATCTCTCTAATAAATCCCATTCCCTGCTGTAGAATTGTGTGTAAAATTAGGAAACTGAATTCCTTCCAAACTTGTTCATGGAGTGAAAATAGAAGCAATATTCTTGGACTTAGGAGAAAAAGGAATCGTGAAAGATGAGAAAAAAATACAGAATTGGGAAAGTGAGGAGTTGGGCATTTCTTTTTGCTTGCTTGCTTTTATTTTGGTTTCTTGTTAGTTGCATTTGCTTTCAAGCTCTCAGGACAATTCCAAACCCATAAGATGTGAAGCTTGCCCTTAGTTGTACCACCTTCCCAGTTTGCTGCAGTGTGGTGTTCAGTTTTACCACTGATTCCTGGCTTCTTGGATTTGAGTAATAAATGTTTTCATAGCAGACTTTGCCAACTGGAAAAGATCACTGACTGTTGAACATCAAAATGCAATCACACCAGCTCTGTAAAACACATTTGGTTTTTCTTGAGTTTGTGTAAGGCTACATCACAAACTTTAACGATGAGAATGTTAAAGTATCTTCCCAATGGTCTTCAGAAGCAGTGGTTTTATTTCAGGGCGCAAACTTCCTAGGAAGTTTATTATGTATGTTTTTTCAACATGGTTATGGTGGTTAAACTGAGAAAACACCCTTGAGAGTTATCGTATGTCAAACCCTACACATCTTCCTCCTTCATGAAAAGGCAAATGTTTATCTTCGCCTTGTTTTCAGCTATTTTCACAGCAAAGGGGATGTTTCTCAGACCACCTAGGAGATCCAGTCTGAAATATGGATTTGACTTCCTGTATTAGAACCCCTTAATGTACTGCCTTGTATTGCCACCCTTTTTCTGAGGTAATACAAGCCAACTTAACATTTTGAGAAATTTCATCTCAAAGTGACTGCTGAGGCCTCCAAATTGACGGCAGCGTTGGCTGCCAATTGTAAGGAAAAGCCTTGATGAATGCTAGCAGATGTGTTACTTCGCTCTCTAGATGAGTGTGGTTTGTCTACCTCTATTAGTTAACCAGGCAGGATATTGTGCACCTGTGAAAAGGGCCTATTTTGGGAGTGCTGTAAGAAAAATTCTTTAAACTTTTTGATGAAAGTCTACAAGGACTATGAAACCAGCATTCACTTAACTACTATTTAAAAAAAAAAAAAAAAAACTTAAACCATTATCAATACTCTTAATGTTCCCTCAGTAATATTTAAGAGACTGGGGATCAAGGTTAACTTGTGATGGAATCATCTATCTTAAGAAAATTAAGAGTAACCAGAGGCGAGCCAGTGGAAAGGAAATAAACTGCTCAGTATTTGGAAATACATTCTCTCTTTCTGGCTCCTTGATATAGTTTAATAAATTACCTCATGGAGTATATTGAATCATGTGCCCTAGTAACCAGAAAAACTGAGTCCTATAAGCCACAGCACGTGAAAGCCACTCTGAAATCTGAGCATTACATTGTGTTTCACAGTAAGCACCAGGCCCAATCTTTGCATTATAGAGAAAACAACAATAGTGAAATATACACATCAATAATATTTCCATTGAAAAATAGATTCCTTTTCTGTAACTAAGCCAAACAATGCATGTAAGTTTATTTCATATTTGGAGGTCGCTGGTTACACAGTGTACAATATGTTTTCTTCCTATGTCCCTGTTCCAAATTTAGTATTTCCTGATAGAAACAGTTAGATTAGGAAATCTGAAATTATTACTGATGTGATGTAACATGCCAAAAGTCTCAGGGAGTCTGCTGCTGACATGCATGGTTGAGGTTCAAATGTACTTTTGAACAAAATTATTTTATGGACATGTAACCAGAAGAAAAGTTCTTTTCCCTTGTAAATGTTGACTTTCCATTTCGTTATGTAACTTATTCAGGTAAGCATATAAAAATACAAAGTTTGTAATTTTTTCTCATATCACCAACTTAATTAAGTTTTTAAAACTCTGAACTATGATCTTTCTCAAAGATATTCATTTTTCAACCCTTGTTTTTCAACCCTGTTTTCAAGTTCAAATCCCCCCAGGGAGATATTTTAACCTGCTGATACCTTAATTCTATGATTTGGCTTGATTTGCGGTGGTAGGGACCAGTAAGCTGCATATTTTCAAGGTATCCCAGGTCCTTCTGAGGGTCAGTCTCTGTGACATAGTGCTGGTTTAGGCACACACATAGTGCTGGTTTAGGCACACTCTTCAGAATTAGAATCTGCTTTTGTCACTTTCCATCAGAAAATGAATAATCATTCACATGCTAGGTTTCCAGCATTTACTGCTGCTAAGATAAAATATATTCTGTATTCTTATGTTTCAGTCGACTTTCCAGACAGTACAGCTGATGGCGGCTGCAGAAATCCACACCTATAACCCTCAGATATATGTGATTGAAGATAATACAGTTATGGTGAGCGCCATCACATCCCCTCCCATGAGCCTTAGAATCTACAATAGACATTTCATTTCTAAAAACTTGGAATAGTCTTCTCCCCTGAATGTGTATAGGAATATCTGACTAATACTTTAAACAGTTGATGTTTGTTACATTGAACTTTTTGCTACTCAGGAATTTCAGTGATATACTTGTCCTCTTCCATGCCCCTCCCCATGTTGGCAAAGCTGGCTTTCCTAGAAGTGGTGACTGAATGAAAGGCACAACAAGCGGGGCTCTTTCTTACTGGGGACCCCATGGCGTCTTTGCCATGACTATATCAGCACCACCAGGTCCTTCCTTTCTCCTCCTTCTTACATAAAACTGTCTAGAACTTAGTCCACAAAATTGAAGTCATGCTTATTTAAATCATAAATTGTATTTTAGAGTATTTTTAAAGAGAGTGCTGAAGCATGCTTCATAAATAAGGCACTTATAAGAGGGGTTTTAAAAATAGTACTCCTTCAACTAGACACTGACACTGTGTGACATGTCCATTCATTAGATCTTGCATTCTAGAAAACTATAAATGTTCCCCTTGATTAAACAACAAAAAAAGCTTTTACAGAGAATGTACTTTCACAGAAAACAAAGGTTCTCTGTTCTAAGAGTTGGCATGAGATAATTTTCCTTTGCACTGAAACTCTGGTTAGAATATGCCATACTTAGACGTAGTGGGAGTTCCATGCCCAGCTAATCTGCTGGCAGAGCCCTGAGTGTTTTAGGATGCTTGTGTTAGGAGTTGGAAGCCAGTTCAAGACTCTGTCCCCAAGGCCAGCTTGGCAGTTGGCCCCAGTCCACTGTTTTAGCATTCTGGCTTGGTTAAAAAGCTCATGGCCCCATGAACTCTGGGCCTCCTCATTCAGTGCCTGAGAGTGGAGCTCCTAGCATGGCTGCCCCACTCCTGACCCAGCAAAAATCATCCTACACAGTAGAGGACACTTTTCTGCCTCTGGTCTAGGAGCTTCAGTGAAAGCCCCCACACTCTCTTCAGTGGAAGCAAATCAGAAATGGAGTCAAACGAAATGCAGACTTCAAATTAAAAGTGCTATGAACTTAGCCTAGGGGAAAAGTATAGAGATATTTTTAAAAGCTTACTTTAGAAAAATGTAGTGTTCAGACAATATGAGACTCTACTGAAGACTTTGTTTTTTAGAAAGCTGTATTAAATATATTAATTAAAATCCAAGTGAACAATTTTAATGCACCCATTAGACTTTTCTTAGTTTACTTTGAGCAATATCATAAATAACAGAAGCCTGCTGTCACTTGTGTCTATGGAAATATTTTTTAAATCCAAACAATAATATGGATAATTTCTAAAAATAAGGTTCTGAATCTAAAGAATAACTTGATGCATTTCTGTATGATCTGCATTTCTGATGATAAGTAACTGTTACATTAACTTGAATCCCTGACCCACTTAAAAATCTGATCCACAAAATGTTATACTCATGGGACCAGAGGGATCAATGGACCCCAGATTAGGAAAGCTACAGAATAGAGAGAAGAAAGCATATTTCTGCCATTAAGCAGTGAACCATACGAATTTATAGTAATTTATAGTCACTTTATTCTTCCATTTATCCAGCCTCGTTTGAACTGCTGAAGATACAAATGAGAAGAAATACAGTCACCAAAGCCTGCTCCCAGTTTAGTCCAGCCCATAAATTATATTGCAATTTAATGTTAAATCAAGTAAATAAATTAAATAGTGTCCTCTTATTTTGTTTCAAAATATAGCCCTGTAGGAATATTTTCTGAAGAAAACGGTTGAGGCCCTTCCCCCAATTAAAGATCAAAAAGACCAAGCAGTTTTACTGTTAAAATCCAGGGCAGCCCTTCCATTAACAGCTCCATAAAGATTGCCAGGAAGTAGACATAAAGCATCCTAACTAGCCTCTAGAACAACTTTATCACTGAAAAGGTCAACTTGAGCCTTGAGATATGATGTCTACTTTTTCAACAATTGATATCAACCTTGAATGAGATTTAAGTGAAATCAATATCTTAGAAACCCAATACAAAGTTGCTGTTGTTTTATCACAAATCTTCACCACCCTCCCCAAGAATGTTTGCCTTCACTTCATAATATGAATCTATGCCAGAAATTGAAGTTCCTATTTCATAAATACTTAAAGCATCTGAGGTTATCAGGCATGATAGAGCCACAAAATACTGATGTAGGCAAAAGGGGAAACTAGAAAACATGTATTCCTTACCTGAACTTTGCAGGAGTGTTTTCTCTAAAACTTGTTCTGCACAATGTTTGAGGAATGCCATCAAGAGCAAGTCATGTCGCCTTTCTAGAGCAATCTACCTTCATTCATATAACTAGAGAATTGACAGGACCATCTTTTTTTTATTTTTATTTTTTGGTACTAAAATAACTCAATTGTGAATATACATTTGCAGATTCCCCTCACAATAATGAAACCTGATGAGAAGGCTGAAGTGCCAATAGGAGTTATAATAGGAAGCATACTTGCTGGGATCCTTTTGCTGTTAGCGCTGGTTGCAATTTTATGGAAGGTAAGAAAAGTTTCATATTTTAAAATACAGGGCTTCTGAAGGCCTCTGTCTTGCATTTGCTTACAAAACAGCAACTTTAGCTTGTATATGGTACCTCCTCTATCACTAGGGAAAGAGAAATGCAAGTCTGTTTACAATTTCTTACTCATGTCTTTGAAAACAATCCGTAAGAATTTTATCTTTTTTTTAACATCCTTTCATCCAGAGTCCTGAACGTTTTGTTCAGCTTCAAATAAGTAGACTATGAGAAATTTAACTTTATGCAATACAGCTGAGCTCTCCAGATACAAATTTCCTCACTGGAGGGGTGATAGATACCAGGTCAGCAGTCTGCACACCACTCTCCAGAGCCACAGAGATTCCAGGAGGTGCCTCAGAGCACGTCGGTGGCCAAGGGGACCAGAGGCACCATACAAAATAAGCCATGGGTGGTAACGTGTGTATGTCATCATCTTCACAGCTCGGCTTCTTCAAAAGAAAATATGAAAAAATGGCCAAAAATTCAGATGAAACTGATGAAACCACAGAACTCAACAGCTGAACCACCCAGCAGATGTAATTGCAATGGGAACTGACAGCATCTCAGCCAGGCATTGCTATTTGTGTGAATGGATTTCTTTTTAAATCCCAGGGTTGTTTTTTTTTTTGTTTTGTTTTGTTTTGTTTTTACTGTCATTGGTAATCTAGCCTGGTATTTTATTTTGAAAGAAAACTGCAGGTCAGTTTGGAATGAAGAAATTGTGGGTGGGAATTAGGGGTATAAAGGGTGAAAGACTTATTTTATATGAGGGGGGAAAAAGTAATCTTTAAACTGGCGGGTCCAGAGTTTACATTCTAATGTGCATTGTGTTAGAAACAGGAAATAGACCAGGTGCAGTGGCTCATGCCTGCAACTTTGGGAGGACAAGGCGGGAGGCTTTCTTAAGCTTAGGCGATCCAGACCAGCCTGAGCAACATAGCAAAATCTCATCTCTACAAAAAAAATTTTTCTAAATCAGCTGGGAATCACCATGTGCCTATAATCCCAGCTACTCGAGAAGCTGAGGGGGAAGGACTGCTGAGCCCAGGAGATCAAGGATTTAGTGAGTCATGATCCTGCCTGCTACATTCCAGCCTGGGCAGCAAAGTGAGATCCCAACTCAAAAAAAAAAGAAAAGAAAAGAAAAGAAGAAAAAGGAAAAAGAAACAGGAAACAAGTCCAAGTATGACAAGTTTTAAAGAAAAATACTTTCTCAGATTTTGTTCTCTTTAAAATGCTTGTCTTTAAACAGTAACAACAAAGGTGGAAGTACCTGGTATTAATATATATATATAAAGTGCTTCCACTTATATGTATAATTTTCATGAATATTGATGTTAACAAGAGGAGAATATAGGTTATTTTTCAATTTATGCTGCTCATCCAAAGTTGCCACAGAGGTTAAAATTTGCTGTTGGTTCTTTTTAGTCCACACTGCTTCTTCAGGGTTCCATCTTGCTATGATTATCAAAATGTGCTTGAATCACTGACAGGAGCTTAGAGTATACCTCCTATGGGGAAATTGCCATTGAACTTGAAAGAGGAGGTATCATAGAGGCCAAAGCACAGAATTTTGCTTAAAACCCAAAAATATAACAAAATTTATGGTAAAGTAGTGTCTGTTGGAGGCCCAGTCTGCACCAAAAAAAGGAAAAGGAGAAAATCTCCTTTTTCTTTTAGGATGCACTACAGTTCTCTTTTAGGACTTGAATGGCTGGTGGCAGGGGCCTAGTGAGTTCTTGAAAGAAGAATAATTTCTTTGGCAGCTCCCCCCTTACAGAACCACTCTCCCAACTCCTGATGTCTGTACATTTCAGAAGGCCTCTGAAGCCTGCCTCCCTCTCCAGGGATGCCTTCCTTTATCCCTCCTCCAAAGCTACCACCCCCTCAGGAGGCTGATCTACACCAGGTATTATTAGGAGGAAAAAGTCATCTGTTTATTTCACACACATGTGTGCATTACTTTATAAACTCCTTAACTTCAAGGAATGATTTTCACTGATTGCTGAATATGTAAGGAAAATAAGCCCGAGTGAATTTCAGGGAATGTAAACAAGAGCTTGCAGATGAGGCATTGGAAACCACCATGTTAGATGCATTCTCTCTGCCTCTTGTATTTAAACTTCCCTAAGAGTGAATCTCACCCAGGCAAGTGTGTTGGAAAGGTAGATTCTGAGATTATGCAGTCAGATTAAGATGAGGCCCAGTAATCTGCATTTTAACAAGTACCTCAGTCTTTATTATGCAAACAGACCACGCTTTGAGGAACACCACCCAGTTCTACTTTTTGCACCATCTTTCCTCTATTTCTGAGCCCACAAACTCTCTAGAAGAGAGCTGGAGGAAAAGGGAACAGCCGTTGCATACCTAAAGCTTTGGACAAGTCCTTGACCTCTATAAACTTAAGTGTCCTCATTATAAAATGGGAAGACTGGGTTGGAGCTCAGCAGTGACGCTTGTAGTTTTAAAAGTCTATGATCTGGAATTCCTATAATACAAATGGACAATTCTCCAAGAATTTAACTTGGAAAAGATGTCAGAGGAAAACAGGTGTCTGCCCATGTGCATATTCACAACCTCCACTGCCCTGGCCTGGCACCTGTGTTAGCAGTGCAGAGTTATCTGTATGTTTAATGATTTACTTTGTATTTGACAAAGCAAAACAAACAAGAAAAAAAGAAAACAATTAGCCACACAATATCAGGAGTTTATAACAAAAACAGCATGGTATTCTCTAGTTCGATGAGCCAGAGCACAAGTCTTCTAAGGCTGTGTGAATTCACTGCTCCATTTCAACCAACATTTTATTTTTAAAAAAAATAGTGCAGAAACTGGTTATTAGATTGACAAAAAATATTTAACAGTCGAGTGTGGTGGCACACCTATAGACCCAGCTACTTGGGAGGCAGAGGCAGGAGGATCCTGTGAGCACAGGAGTTTGAGTACAGCCCGGGCTACACAGCAAGACCTCCATCTCAAACAATAAAAATGGAGAAAAAAAAGAATACTTAACAAACCACTTACTAATGTATATATACATACTAGCTTTTCAATATGTTATGTAAAAAATTATAGCACATCCTTCCTTTTATTTTAGTCTTCCTCACCTTCCTTAGATAAGTACTAAACACACACACATTGAGCTTGAGCGCTTTGGCTAGCCTTGCCTTAAGTAATCGGCCTCAATTACACTGTCTCCAGGAAGTAGTTGGATCACTATAAACTAGAATAGTAGCTGCTTATTTCTTCACCGTTGAACACACTAGGTAGGGCAGGGTTTCTCAACCTGGGCCCTGTTGTCATTTTGAACCAGGTGATTCTTCCTTGTAGGAGCCACCCTATGCCTTGTAGGATGTTCAGCAGAATCCCTAGCCTCTGCCTACTAGATGCCAGACCATCCTCCCCCTGCAGTTGTGACAATCAAAAAAAGTTTCCAGACATTGCGAAATGCCTCCTGGGGGAGTGGGGGGGGGGGGGGTGAGGGGGCCGGGGGGGTATTTCTCAAGCACTTGTAAGCAAATGTAAATATTCACCCAAGAAATTAAGGGTGGGAAAAATATTTGTTTTTTTTTAAAAGCAGGATTTATTGAGAGGACAGAAAAGCTCCCACAGTGGGAGGGGACCCAAAGGGTTGCCCGAAAAATATTCTTTGAATAAAAGCTATGTGTTCCTACTCAGCCGTACTTTTGCTTTAAAAGTAAGTAGAGTATAGGGTATAAAAGGTGTCATATTAAAATTTCCATTTCATAAATGGTATATAGACAAGGTCTATAGAATGTGATGAAAACTTTGCATTGCTTCATGCATGGCTGCCACACAAGTCTTACAAAACAGTAACACATAAAATAGCTTATGAAGAAACTGCATTGAGATTTAAAATTGTGCATCACTCATTTCAGCAGCAAAATTAGAACTCCTAACCGGACAGAAGTTTTTTTCTAGCTAGCAATGTTATTTTTGTAAAATAGTGAAAGTTATCTATCAACTGTGAAGAGCAAAGAAAACTAAAGCCAATTTATTACAGTCATACAAGTGATTATACAAAAGTTATTATATGTATAGTATATTTATCCTGATATACAGCTATAACTCAGTATATTAAAATCTCATAAATCAAGACATCATCAAACAGAAGACAGGGTTCCTTAAACTGAGATCCCTGAACCATCTATAATATTTCAATCTGCACACATAAAGCAATTGTACACACAACTTTTTAGGACTATGCCCTCTGTGTACATTCAAGCATACCCATTTTAATCAATTTGAAAGATTACTTTAAACATCTAGAGGTGAAAGATAAACACGGGGTAATATTTGAAATAAATGAAAATGTTAACTACTTTGAACTTTAAAGAATGAAAATGTAGCCACTATGTAAATATTAAAAGATAGTTTCGTATGTACTTGATTTATTTTGGCAGATGAAGTCAAAATATGAATGTATATATTGCACAACTATATTAAAATGTATGTTTTTTTAAATAAGAAATTGTCTTGGATATTTTCCTTCATACACAATGCATAAATCTTTGTTAAGATATGATAAGTATGTTTGCTGTTTATGATGAAATGTTTTGCCTTTTTTCTCTCCACCAAAACTATAAAAATAAAATGCATGTTTGTACAAAAAAATTGCACAATTCTTTTTATTTCTGAGAAACAAAAATTAAACTGGGATAGTAACCAACAGAAACTAGTTAGCAGCTTTTCTCATGCTGAAGTACAAGAATTAAACAGAAAAGTTTTATTAATTATAAATCACCCTTTTCATGGCACGTTATTGACTATTATTAAAATGTTTTTAAAATAGGCTATTTTCTTTGAGTTTTGATGTTTACAAGTTACGCATTTTTCTATATTGATCTTATATATTCACTTCGTTTTAGAACACAGTCAAGACTGAAGGGTAGCTTGCCATAGGTGTTCAGTCTGTTATGTCTCTAGTAGTGACCACAATGATGTTTGTAGGAGCCTTAAACTGCCTTCAAAGTTTAGGAACTTAGTGAAAAGTAATGCTTCTCAAAGTGCAGTCCATGGACAGGCAGTGCTGCATCACCTAGGGGCCTGTTAAAAAATGCAGATCTCAAATGCCACCTGGAACTAAACTCCAATTGGAAGCTTAACAAGATCCCCAGATGATTCATATTACATTAAGCACTGCTCTAAAGCAGGACTCCCCAGCCCACAGGCCACCAGTACCAGTCAATGGCCTGTTAGGAACTAGGCTGTGCACAGTAGGTGAGTAGTAGGCAAGCGAGCAAAGCTTCATCTGTATTTACAGCCATTCCCCATCACTCGCATTACACCTGAGCTCCATATTCTGTCAGATCAGCAGGGGCATTAGATTCTCACAGGAGCATGAACCCTGTTGCGAACTCTGCATGCAAGGGATATAGGTTGTGAACACCTTATGAGAGTCTAATGCCTGATGATCTGAGGTGGTGATGCTAGTGCTGGAGAGTGGCTGCAAATACAGATTAACATAAGCAGTGAGGTTTGACTGCACAGAGCCCAGAATAAATCAGTTTGTTTTCAGATTTATATTAAAACCCTGTGAGTGAATGGCAATGAGCTGATGTGCTTCAATTGTACAGCTGCCATCTGGTGGCAGGCTGTAATCAGAATCTGACAC